TCCTCACCATGTTGGCTGATAAGGTGGCGACGAAGCGACATCTGAGGTTGTCAGTCGTGATGAGCTGGCTGCGAAAACAGATCTCTTTTGCCCTCATCAGAGCACAAGTATTGTGCATTCGCGGATCACGTTCTTGGCGCCATGTAAATTCATCATCGAACATTGAACTGTCCGAACAATTATCAAATTTTAAAATGTAATATCTTTGACTATAATTGTAAACGTGTTGTGAAATCCGCTCCAGGATTACTTTTGATATGTGTAATACCTCAAGTTTGTAATTAAATATATACATATAGCCTTTCGTTTTCACGGCAAAAACCTGCATATATAGGTCACCAAGTTCCCTAAATAAGAACAATTAAATTAAACTATAATGGCTAATGTTTGACTATATTAAGATGCGGCCTATATAACTCCTTTAAATCAAATTTCCGAAAATACGTATTCTTTTGTTTAAGAAATATTAATCGTGTCAGTTTCATACAATTTAAGAATTATGAGATTGAAAACGTCATTGCACTGATGTTTTCATGCACGCATCTCGTTTACATTGCACTCAATTAAGTATATATATATATATATATATATATATATATATATATATATATATATATATATATATATATATATATATATAGCTAAGCATGGCACGATTGATTATATAGCTAATATTTGCCTTATAGCTATTTCATTCCGAATGATTTTAATCATTCGTCTACTCTCCGCGATCTTTGTATTTGTAGACTGCATGTGGATTATTTTGGCATGCTGTGCCTGTGGCAATAAGTTGCAATTGACATGCATGTATTGTAAACGGGGCTGCAGACGTGTGATACTTGAAGATGCATGATATTGTTATTACACTAAACTAAATTTAGCCATAAGTATAACTCGCATTTTCAGCTTGTCAACCGTAGATATTGTTTTTCTGAGCATCAATTGACAATGGTCTGGTTTATGTATCACCAATATGCTCCATGAATCACAAGCCTTTAGAAGCCATGCATGCAGGGTTTGAGGTTCAGCCGTACCGTACGTGGCGATGAGGCAGGTCAATGTTATTATTTTTCATCTATTTTCATTGACTCCGCCTCTTTGTAGATCTCCACTATATTACTCGCCTCGAAAATATTTCGTGCATTTAAGCCATGATAATTTTTTGGCTATCCTATACATAACAATTTGCCCTGTCATTAGATTGCCTTAAAGGTCACTCCATAAGAGGATATGAAAGAACAGAAAAAAAAACTTAAAAAACTTTAGGATAAAAGACAGAAAAAATTTCAGTAGGATTCAATATGCCTAATCTACATGTGATGTACGTACAGCTACGTATATACTGTATATCTGCTCGACCCATGTGGAACAAAGCTCAATGATTTATCTCTTATCTGTTTTGCTGCGAGTGTATACCGGAATCTAACCGCGACGTGTGCATTTTAAACAATCAATCAAATAGTGGGTACAATTGACGTTATTGTCCTTTCATACGGTATATATCTATTGGGTACATCAGTACACTTGCAGTGGGCGTACAGTGCAACTCGGATAACGGTGTTAGGACATTGGACGGTCTTTGTTAAAAGTTTTCAACGAAGTCAAAACAAGCAGAAATACTGATAAATATTATACAACAGATGTGAAACTACTGCGAAATAATTGATTGTTTCTGTTTTGGGTATTCCTCGTATCAATTAAACTTAAATCACATTAATCACAACACAGTTTTACCGGGTTCATTCAACTGAGATTCGATGGAATATTTTGAAAAATTGATGGTGATTTTGCTGCTGATATGCTTAAATCAAGATTTTATAATCATAGGCGAAGCTATGGCTGGCGGTGTACGTCGATCGAGAGTTACGCGAAGAAGGCGCAGATCACTGACGCATCGAAAGTGGAGTGGAATGGAAAAGCGCCCGTATAGAATCCTGGATTCAGAAATTTTTAATGGGAAACTGAGGATTGAACGAGAACCACGCGCGAGAACTACATGAACTGGCATGCATTCAGAGGACAGCAGTTTTAAAAGAATGATATGAACCAGTATAGCAGAGAATGAAACACTAGACAATTACATATGAAACACTTCACACCAAGAATAAGTAGATTTTAGAATTGTTATATGAGCGGACTTTAAAAACTATATATATGTATAGCCAGTAAAATCTTTTGTGGAATTACTTATAGTCTTAGACTTAGCTTATATACTGCTATATATGCATGGCACAATTTGACTCATCATGTCTGCAGAGCTCTCAAAAAATTTCACTTATACAGGAAACAATTGTAAGCTTCAAAAGATTGAGAAAGATAAGATCACGGCGTATGGCCAAATCACTATGGAGTGTGCGTGGGCTATGAGGAACACACCGAACGTGATTCGCCAACGCGTCGCAAATAAAAAGTTAATTCTCTTGTTTTGTTCTTCACTTTTTTAATGTTTAATAAGCAGTAATAACATACTATCACGGTTTAACCGGAAAACATTCTAAATTCTGACCCCCTATTCAACCTCTAGTATCGTATCTGGTATATATAGGATTATATAATATAATTGATAATTCCTGTTTATCGAGAGTAAAATGTTACTGGCATATTAAATCAAATGTATATAGTGTTTCAGTATTCGAAAAATAATATTTAATAATAGTTAATTGTCATTACTTGGTACGGCTGTGTCTGTGATTTGCATGTCTTTTGTCCAGAGTCTTTTGGATTAAAAGGTGAATTTTTGAGCCCTTCCTTCGTCCCGGTGGAGACCCTTTTGAATGGGTTTTTGAGCAGGAAAAACAATCTTAGGTAGGAATAATCAAAGACGGGAGAAACAACAAGCATCATTCCATATACAGTTATCTCCCAGAACACTGATTGCAAGTACAAAGTCAAAAAACAAAAACAGTCAAAACTCATCCCCCGCTTCCAATATTTCTGCCTTTACTGCCATTAAAATAACGTAGGCTGTGTAATTCTCTATATGCCTATGGTGTCTTGCGGTTTTCGCCCACTTGCGGTTACATCGTCAGTCCCGCATGCATCTTTTATCATCTTATTTCCCGGTTGTGCGCAATCTATTTCTAGCGATGTGTTGGTCGCTACAGCTGAATTAACCTTCAGTTCCTAATAATGTTGAGCCTGACTCGAGAGGCTGTTAACTCAAACCGAAGATTTTTCGCAAGTGATCAAACAAATACGCAGGGGACAAGCTAGGATCTTGTTATTCCATAGTCTAGATACTATTGTTCTAATTATTGAAAACATGTCACAACAAAGGTAACTAAGATGGCGGTTGCAATCATAGGACATTCCATAAAATTAAAAACTATTTTTTGCGTCAAAACATAGTGGGGGGAATGCGTCTGTACATTCCTTATCTATCATCACCATAAAATGTCAATAATTAACCACACCGCCTATAACTCTGCATCGCCATTCCCAGAATGTCGCTAGAATGTTTTCGTGCGTTGCGAATTAGCGTTATACCACAGCGTTACGAAGCACTCAATGTCTTGATTATGATTTCATACGGCCCATGCAACACTGTCGATGTGAGCTAGCAATTTTTTTAATTACTGAAAGTTATCTTAAGAACCCCCTGACCTTGTCGTTATTAGCATCGTCAAGGTTACATGAGTAATTTTCTGAAAATCATTCAACGTTTTTTCACTATATAATATACCGCGCAATCCGGCCAATCTTCAGTCTTTATTATTTGTATTGTTTATTTATATGATCTACAGTACGTCACTATATAATATACCACGCATTATTTGTATCGTTTATTTATATGATCTACAGTACGTCACTATACTGATATACCACGCATTATTTGTATCGTTTTTTTATATGATCTACAGTACGTCACTATACTGATATACCACGCATTATTTGTATCGTTTTTTTATATGATCTACAGTACGTCAATGAATAACTCATGGTTAACCAAATGGAAAGAAAGTGTTTGTAAGGGCTGATATAATTAAAAAAAGTTAAAGGAAATCAACATATCAAATTATATTGCGAAAATTTATTGTGAAGGTTCTTTGCTGTGTCAGACTTTAGAAAGTCAGGTCATACACTAGATCTGGACATTGAGATCAGTTTCTTTAAGTTATCTTCTATAGATTAGTCCCATAGAAGAGTCGCTCGTCTAGTCTTCAAATGCTAGATAAAAAGCCTCAGAGGAATTCCGACGACTCATCTGATTAAAGCACCTGTCAAACAGGGTACAAATTATGATTGCGAAATAGAATGTTGCCTTTTTGTACTATGTATACGTCAACATTTTACAAGGTAATCAAGGATTATATCTCTATAACGAATCTCACCACATAGCAGGGTACATAAGATTTCTAGTTAAGCGATGTTGCAAGTTACGTTGTCTATTCGATGTCGAATGCACTGGTACCAGGCATGCAAAATGCGCTCGAAGCTGAAGGACAACCGACAACGTTCAACGTCTTTGGCTGGTGATGACTGGAAAATAAAGTGCTTGTTTTGTATAAATTTTCTTCGTCACCGGACAACAAACAATACGTCACTGACTGCCGGTAATTAATCAGAATCAGACTTGAAGGAATTGCTCACCGAACAATTAAAATGCTCCAACTTCGAGCTCAAAATCCAGGGGACAATTGTACGAAAGCTGATAGTGCTATCCATCGGATAGCGTTTTTTAAACCCTCTAAATTTGCCCGTTTTTTTCTATAACCTAAATTAAATCTGGTATTCTACGTTGAGGGTCCTCTTTTATAAGCTAGCCCAAATCTGTAATTTCATTGCTTTTTAAACAGTTTTAAACGGTTAAAAAAAAGCAATATCGGTGGATAGCGCCATGCATCCAGCTTTCGTACAACCGGCTCCTGACCAAAAATTTAATCTATGCGGTAAGTTGTCCATACGTTGTTATACGTTTTCGATTATCCTTTTTGGCGAAACCGCCATTTGATGCCAGATTTCTATATTGATACAACGTTTCCTTTGTAAACAATAGCTGCATGGATATCATAATCTGTTAAGTGGATAGGAAGTGGTTCAAGGATCTGTTTAGAAACTTTATACCAAAAATACAACACCTATAAATAGACGATTCGATTTGTAATTTGCATATAGTCATATGCATGCAGAGGCTAATTTGCCTTTTGTTTAATTAAAAAATGGTTTCATTGGTTTCTGCGCATCCGTCCGGCATTAAAATAAGGATTTTTTGCAAGGACACGTTTCAGAGAAAATTATTGCTTGGTAAATGAGTATGTGCATGGGACGCAGATTTGAGCACTGTCATTAGCGGTTTCATTTATGCATGTGCAAGGCCTGATCGGCACCGACCGTGAAAAACCAAATTTTGTCACATTTCGAGAAGCAATTTCCCTTATTTTAGCGACTGAATTTGCCTGCGTTAGTGAACCAATGAAAACACAGCTTTCGGTTAAGTGCCACAGTCTGGTAGTTACAATATAGATAGCTAAAAGTGTCAGACTCACGGGGCGCGGGGCGAGAAAATTTTTCAGATTTGATCCCTTTAGATCCTCGCAAATAGCCGTTTTCAGAGTCTTACCAGGGCCTGTTCTCAATAGTCGAAAACATCGGTGAGACCTAACATGATAAGGTTTTCAAAACTGTATTAAACAATCACAGTGCCATTAATTTCAAGTTCACACTTTTTAATTTAGAAGAAAGAACATGCACATTCGCATTTTATATAAGGACACAAAGTGTGTAAAAGGACACGCTATTTTAATGCCTGCGGCGGCTCGCATGATTCTGATTTGTCTAGACACAGACTTTAGCTCATATATTCATTTAAAACCATAGGCATAGCGAATCAATAATGTGTGAGATACGCTGACAGTTCGTCGGTCTCGAATTTAAAAAAAATATAACAGTTAAACTTCAAAATGTAAACAAAGAGTTTGTTTACATTATGACTGGACATCATGAAGTTGACGTTTGGGGCCAATTTGTTTTGACTTTGCGGTTTGCAATAACACTTTAATAATGAGTTGACGGATAGATTGAGGATCTCTATTCACCCCTGGACTGCAAAGCCCAGGTGACGAATAGATTTTTGCCATTTGCGGTTTACGGGTTCAATCGCTGGAAGTGTGTTTTCAAGCGACCGTTTGCTTCAGGGTTTTTTAATTTCAATTTTGTCTCATTCTTCTTTCAGTGACCACTAGACCACTGATTTTCTCTAAGAAGAAGCTGGGTAATCGCCTAGCTACCGCGATTCTCGATATAAATAGTTGCATGGACAAAACTCAACAGGGCGGTCAATACAGTCACTTTCAAAAGGTGCAAAAATACACGGAACACTTTGTGTCCTTCCTTCCTGGACCCTGGTGTATCCGATGCTTGACCAAATAAAGTTGGGGTTAAGCATTTAGCTTAACTGACCGAACTAAGCTCCTTGCATGGGTAACTATTTGCATGGTACAACTTTCAGATCTTTTTACCACAATGCATGCATGTACCTAAATGAGTGCGAACGAATGTTGAACTATCTCACCAAGTATGCCAACAACATGCACAGCAACGTCAAACTGTGTGATGTTAACGGTTTGCGGTTTGTGATTCTCTTTTAAACTCATCTAAAACTCTTTTTAACTTATTCGATACGCAAAGCACATTCAAAGGTGGGTAAATTAACTATGTTCAATTTTATAATGGTTGATTTTGCAGTTTCCGGCTTTGGTGACATCTATTAACATTTCTACTGGAAATTCAAATGGACGATATTTGCCAAGACTTGATAACGCAGGCCATGCAGGCAAGGAAGGGGGTATATGGATACACATGCAACTGAAACCAAATACTGTAGTGAATATACCAATATACCTAAAATAAAGTACTGGTAATGAACGTCCAATCATCCAAACATCCAAGATAACCAAAGTCTCTAACAGCTCCTGATAAAAGCATAGATAAAACTCATAAGAGTGAAACACTTCGATAGCAACCTTATCAAAGTTTTCATAAGATATTATGATTGCCAATAACAAGTTATATTGTTAGTCAAATTTTATTTCATCATAAGATTTTTCAGTGATTTAACATATACAAGTCTGCCAGCATCATTTATATATTATATATCATGATCAATTCCGGTCCTCAGTCGAGTCCTTAATCACACCACGATGGAAGAATTACCATTATTAACTAATAAATAAACCATTTTACTCTATACACATGCATTGAAGAAACAATGTCCTTCGCAATGAGAAAATAAATATATAACGCAAGTCATAGTTCACTTGTATCATTTGATACATTTCACGATCATATTGGTTGCTAAAATATCTTACAAAATTTACATTACTATTTCATGACGTTTTCCCAATCTTATATCCCATAAGTTTAGGATTGTTAAAACGTCAGCATGTTGTTTTAAAGGCCATGTTACGTGACTATGAAAATATGGCAGCAACCACTGGATATGTAATTCCGGCAAGTACAAAAATTTAGCTAATTTCTTTTGCCCGCTTCCACGGGAACGTCGGTATTGCACGAAGAATAGTACTTGACATGTGCGAGTATTCAAAATTAGGGCATGCATGTATGGAAACAAAAGTCGAAACTGAATTTCCGCAGAAAATATAACATGGCATTTATAAAACCCATTCCTTGGTGACAACATCCTTAACCCTGTGCCTAGGACGCGACACCGACTGAAGAAACTATAAACAACCCTCCGGTATTCCACGGAAGGAATTAAGCCTACTACACATTCACAGCGTATTAGTTCGTGTTCAGTTCACCGTTCTGCTGTAGAAAAAGCTTGAAACCTCGCTTGTGGCGCAGCAACCTCTTTTCTGTACTATATTTTGCAAGCACTGAACTGGATGCGGATCGTCTTCTTCTTCTTCTTGATGTTCGGCTGCGTCGTACGGTTCCGTAAAAGCATTCAGATTCTTTTACAAAATATTCCATGGCGAATAACAGCAAAGTTAGAACGATAATAGTTTTCACACTCAGACGCATATTTATGCAGGCTAGTTCTCAAATCAAAACCTTTTGTTCGTGGATAGCTCGGTTGATGTCTAGACTCGACAGGTGGTAGAATTTCACAAATGACTTGTCAGAGTATAACTGAATGAAACGCTACTTTAGTTAGATAACTTGAATCTAAGCAGACACGACTACCACAATATATATATACAATATATATATATCAATCTATACACCAGGTCCAAAGGTATGTTCTACCAGTTCCGTAACAACAGTTTAGGAATCGACTTTTCAATTTGCGTTTTATATACTAGACGAGTTTTTCCATGCGATCCCACTTATGAGAGATTAACGTATTTAATCTAATTATAAAGTTAATAAAATCCTTCGGGGTTGTGGAATTTTCCACATTTTGACCACTTAAGTACTATAGCCAATGTGTCTCCCTTTGGAATGGTCTAGATTAATAGTCTTTGAATGATCTTCTTAATCTTATTCGAATCAAGAAGTCTATACTTCGCCTCATCCAAGAACATAATCTAGTTAGCAGAAGACCACTATACTTTATCTTCTCCCTTGTATTTCTTAAATAGGACCTAGGACAGCTCTTAAGATTAATTGTTATACTTATCACCGTTTCCTCTCGAGTTTTCTGGTCTTAAAGCAATGGATAAATTGAAACATCAAGACTTAGCCTTTAATTAAGAAATGTAAATTTTCAGCATTCGGATAAACCTGTTGTATATTCAACACGGTGCATGTCACTAGTTCGGATTCGTGAAGAATAAATCTTCTTAGTCGTGCTGAGCCAATAAAATTGGATCTGGAGTTAATACAATGTACCCAAAATGACAAAGCTCTATTCTTATACGTGTTTTTCTGAAACATGTACGGATAAATCTTGCCCACACTTCGCGGGCGTTTTTAAAAGAATGGTTCCCTTAATAGTATAACCTCTTTATAGTAACCTTGCATCAATAGGTCGCAGTATGTTGACAAAGCTAATTATTGTTGATAAAATCTTAATAGGTCGAACTGTTGAACGTGCTTGCGTCATGCGACTTTTTATTAAACTCGGAATTTGGTTTTTCTCCTTTGTTCGAAAATCATGTGACGTAAGTACATCTGCTAAGGTCAATTAATAACACCTCCAACCGGAATAACATGCATGTTTCTATATCCGATAGATGAAAATCCTTTCCTATAAAGATTAGCTTATTTATATTTGCCAAGTCCATTGTTTTTCGTTAAATTGGAGGTGTTAACATGTGGTACTTGATACTTGGTACTTGCTGTATCACTGGTTATGTTTACGTTCTATTTTCGTGTGTCCTCTAAGACTTTAACATAATTTAATTTGCAGTGTTAAAGCATTTAAGCACCTGCCTAGATTTAATAGGGATTGAGCATGTCCATGCAATTCACTAGGCCTTTCCCGCGAATTTCAACTTAGGTTCGCTTCGAACTTTGGTCTGTTGTTACGACGAAATTCGTGAAGTGGTATAGCAGCTAGTAATCCATCCAGCCGCGAGGTTTTCTGTGCCAAAGGCAAAGCGCATTCGGCATTCAACTCTGCTTAGCTGGATAAATTAAATCGGCTTGTCTTCTGAAGCAAAATGTGCGGGATATCTAATTGCCTAACAAAATAAACGCTTAGCACGCCAGTGTTGAGACACAATAAACCACTCCCCCACCGAGGACTGTAACGTTTGTCATGTGATCTCACAGCAAAAAGTAGTTCCTGATGATTACTTCATCACCTTAGTTAGTCTATAAAATATTTAGGCCTGCGAATATCGAGTCATTGTTTGAAACCAATACCGCGTTCTGGCCATTGTTTGCACGAAAGGCTATGCAGGTAGCAAGTCTTTAGCCCTCGCGCGATTCCATATGATATTTTATTTACATGGACTATGTATGGTGGCCCAACCTGAGAAACGATCACCACAGGTTTGATTGCATATATCGAAATAAAGGAGCTATAATATCTTAATATTGTTTTTTACAGTTTTATCTGGGATATTGCGGTTTAATTTAAATACGTATTTTCTGAAAGCTTAAAAATGGGCAAAAATGGCGCCGAACACCAGATAGCGTTTTATTAAACAAAGAACCAACGATTATAACTTTATCTTTGTATTAATTGTCCAATAATTTTTTTTCATTGGCTCAAAAAGTAATAAAACCACAGATTTGAAGCTAACAGCTATAGAGAGAAGCCCGAATTTAGAAACTGTCACTATAAGGTTTATTCCAGTAGGCCGTAGGATGAGCATCCAAAAGATGCAATTCCGTTGCACCCCTCGTGGAACTACATAATTTTCACATGAATCAATAGATAAAAACTTACTTTATCAGAATCCGTCGCTCCCCAAGTGAAACAGGTGCACAATTGGGAAAAAAATCCCTCCAAAGTTTGCTATATTCGCGCTTCGAAATATTCGAACCGCCATTGTTTTAGTAGCAAATACGCATGCGCATGTCAGCCAAACTCGCACTGCGCACGCGCAGACAGGAAAAATGGATTTTCCCTGTGGGTTTTCCCCGATTTCCCGTGTAAAAATAACAAAATAAAATCACGGAATAAAGATCAAACCTTGTAATATTAACGAATAAATACACACACATTAAATATTGTTAAAACACATTGTACATTTTGCTTGCTCATATGCTAAATCACTTCAATTCATTGGCTATTGTTTCAAAATACCGTTTTAACGTATAATTCTACTTATTAACAACTTAATTCAATAAAAAATTGTGAGGTAAAAAACCCACCTGTATCAAACAGGATGGAGAATATATAAATATACATACAACTCACACAATCAAGAAACAAGTTAAATATTTCGCTTAAATATAGCCTTGGAATGCTATCCCGTTTCTGTAACTCAGTACTTGCACTTTGTTCCCTTTGAATGATAATGCCCCCAGTGATGTGAGTTGTCCCTTTGCCAGATCTAGTTTCTTCTGAGAAATCATCATTATCCCATGCAAGAGTAGTTGGAACATCACTAACAAAGCCTGGAGGAATAGCAGAATCATTGGATATATTCATCTGTGCAAGGGCAGTTTCATGGCACAATACAAATGAGTGTGACATGCAATGTCCAAAGCCACTCAATAGAAAAATCACTGAGGCTGAACCTGTCAGTTGTCTAAGTGCCATGGCAAGTGCTATGCTCTTGGGTGTAGGATTCCTTCCCCCAGATGCTAAATTCAGAAGGTCTTGTACAATTAATGTTAGTTTGGCATTGTTCTTGCCCTCAATTGGCACGTACTCACTTAAAGTTGGCTCTGAAGAGAATCCACAAGTCCAAGCCGAGACATTAAAAAGTTCACATGGAACCACTTTTTGCACATTATCCATTGTCAAATCAATGCCAATGGTGGCCAACGAAGATTCAGTTTTGGTATATCTTGGACCTTTTGGCGAAGAATCAATGCAGCATTGTATAGAATTTGTAACTCATTGACTCTCGAATTTTCCTCAGTTTCTGTGTTGGAATTCAGATCATCATCATCAATGGTACCGGTATAGCTCTCTTCATCAAAGTCTTCATCGTTGTTTTCTGACTTGTTTGACATATGTTCCTCAACCAATTCGGAAGAATCCAAATTTTCCACATATACAATCTCACTAACATTTCTCATTTTCGGTACTTAGAACACAAGTTGGGGATAACTTTTCATCAGTTGTTGCTTGAGTTTAAAAGCTCTATATTTAGATGCATCCACATTCTCGGTGTCCTTAGCAATGATAACAAATTTCTCCAGCAAATCTTTCATATACCTTATTTGCTTATTTGCAATGACCTCAGTCTCGATTACTTTCTTACAGAAGACATCATAAGACTTCTCGTACACTGATGTAGATCTTTCAATCTCCAATTGCTTCTTTGTCTCTCTGGTGAGAAATTTTGTATAATTGCAGTAGCAAACTTTGTGATAGGGGACTTCCAGTGCTACACAGTCTTTCCCCCGGATTTGCACAAGTATCCGTTCATCATTCTTTCTCTCGGCAGCTGTACGTAGAAGACCAGCATCAATTATTTCTGCCAACATGAGTGGGGTTCTTTTTCTCTTCTTAGTTACCTGGTGTGAACAAAACTATTAAACTAAATATCTGCTAATAACACAGTTGGATGTTTGTAGCATTAAAAACTATTTTACCCTAAATAAACTTAATTGACCACAATTCAAGATATTTTAAAACCAAACTCGAGAATGCTGTGCTACTAGTACACATTGCACTATTGCACTAGTATAATTATATCTATCAAAATGACCATACCTTGTCTAGTGAGGACCAAGAGGCGTCTCTTCCACAAACAATACATATCTCTGGACTCGTTTCTTTTAGGCAAGGTCTTATTAACGCCTGCGACTGATTGGCGTGTAATTTTTCGTCTTGGTTCTATTGGTTCCACTTCCACATGTAGTTCTTCGGTAGAAGTTACAGTTTTAGAGCTAGTTCCTTCTCCTTTTTCTTCTTTTCGCTGTTGTCTACGGATATTCTCTTCATCAGAAAATCTCTTCCAGCATTTCATACGATGGTACCATTCTAAGTTAATGCTGTCAGGGTTCTTCTCCTGTTCTCCATGTATGAATTGACAGATCCGTCATCGATGTTCTCGTACGATTTCTTAGCTATTTCAGCTTGTTGACATTTAAGTTTGGCCCATTTAGACCTACACTCAAGACATTTCTTAAGCCCTTGGCGTGTAACTTTGCAAAGTTGCTCCGTAACGCCAACAAAATGAATAAAACATGAGGATATTCGAGTTTTATAAATATTTTCAGCCATGATTGTTTTGCATAACTAAGCGTGTTTCCACTTCGAAGCATGTGCGTGCTTATGCGCGTGCGCAGTGCGAGTTTGGCTGACAAGCGCATGCGTATTTGCTACTAAAACAATGGCGGTTCCAATATTTCGAAGCGCGAATATATAAAACTTTGGAGGGATTGTTCTCCCAATTGTGCACCTGTTTCGCTTGGGGAACAACGGATTCTGATAAAGTAAATTTTTATCTATTGATTCATGTGAAAATTATGTAGTTCCACGAGGGGTGCAACGGAATCCGTTTTTTAAGCATCTTTTGGATGCTCATCCTACGGCCTACAGGTTATACCTAACAACGGGCAATTTCAGAGCGATTGAAAAATATTATTCAGTACATACATGCAGTTATAATCAATATAGATATTCACGGATCTAGAAAAATATATTCAATGTATATGCAGTGTAATTGACCTCTAATTGACTACTCAATATTGACACTAACCTATTTTCGAATAAATTCCATCAATGTTGTGCTGCAAGGCACGCGCATGCATGCTTTTATTGCCCGGGTTTTTCCATGAACAGCGCACAACAACATTAGCGGTTGCGTTCTGTTAATACTTAACTTTGAATAGCAAAAAAGCCTGAGGCTGGTTCGCAGTACGTCAGAAATTTAAAAGGAAGCTGGCTGATGGCCGCTCTAATCTGGGAAATATTTTAAGTCTGGACAGGTAACAATATGAGTAACTTTAAAATAAGATTAACATGTAATATTCCCAGGCAATGACTAATTATTAAAAGCTTTTATTGAGTGCAAACGGAGCTTGTATTTAACTATGGATAACTTCCTGGACCAGGGGCCGGTTGTATCAAGCCCGTTTAGCTTAAACGGCGGATAAGTTCAAAATAGAAATCAACTGAGTCTCTCGTTTTATTCAACAAGCAAACAAAATGTTTTTAACCTTAATACAAAGATACTGTTTACAGCTACATATTCAGTGCATAATATTCAAGTTGACTCGTTCAAGTGAGATGTAAGAGTGTTATTTAATTTTGACTTATCCGCCGTTTAAGCTAAACGGGCTTGATACAACCCGACCCCAGGCCCAGTGCATCAAATCGCAAAATGGCGCGCGGATCGGAAAATACGAAGTGGTTCGTCGTAAAAAACGTATGAACTCGTTATCAAGCACTTATTTGAACAACATCGATGAGTAATAGTATATTATGCTATCACTTGGCAAACGTATACAGCAGATGTTGCGTATAAAATTCGACCCACATACGATATAAAATATCCGAAGGATTTGAAAGTTCCCACGCCCGCGCTCTCTCTTGACGGATGATTTTCAGTTATAACAGAAATGTTGTTCCTGAAATTTGAACTTTATTCATACAGAATAGCGAATTAGTGCTCTCTAAGTGCAACTGTAATCAAGAAAAATTCAAAAATTTAATAGCTAAATTTATACACTGACCTTTCATATTACCATAATGCATACGAATTCTTAAACCTGTTAAAAATAACATCAAACTGGGACTAGAGCTCTCGAAGCTCATGCAGTAGCTGGGTCAATAATGTGATGATGCCTTTTTCGTCGATAAAATTGTGCACATGCACTGAATGTGCAAGCATGTTTATCCGCATGACAATAAAGCCGGTTTTCATATATCGTAATTCATTGGGAATGACTATTGTAGGTAGTCATTGATGCATAGAATCCATTGTCTATCGAAGAAAATTATATATTTCATTGATCAACGACAATAGACGTAGAACATCGCCGATGAATTACGACATATGAAAACCAGGCTTAACGCAAGATTTTGTCAAGTAATATAGGATTTTGATTGCCGGCGAGTTAAGACCAGGATTTTACCACCTCTGAGGTACTTTCCAGTATGGAATTTGACTACAAGATTAAGTATACTGTATATTACTTTGGTGGTGTTTCACAATAAAGACTCTAACTTATGAATAGCACGATGAGACATCTGATAATCAATTTCACTGAAAACCACGCGTTTGGTCCGTAATCTAATTGAAGGCAAATTTCCAACGATGATACCAGGAAATTTGTCTCAAAATCCTCTTTCCATTTATAAGTAGATAAAATGCGATGTCTATGTTTTGAACCCACACTGTTTTGCGTCACAGCAAAGTATTGAAAGATGGTTTTGGTTGAAAAAATAATCGTAAGTAAATTAACATTGGTTTTCACATTCATACTTATGCATAGTTATCCAATTTAACCTTCCAATATTCTTTATAAAGGGATTTAGGGCTTGTTACCTAAGTTAAGTTCGGGTGCATTTCGCCGTAATCCGGTTTTTGGATCACAGACTGGGAATAACAATGAATTACGACGGGATTACGGCATTCGAAACGCAACGTACTATACAATAAATGTTTAAAATCAGCGATCACGCTCGTGTTCGCGATCATTCCCGCAAAACTAGAGTTCGTGTTCTGCACACTCCAACCAAAAATTAAAGTTCATTATATATCATAGGCATATGATAACAGAAATTGTATATACCATATATAGTATAGTTGCACACACTACATTCGGCATTTTTGAAAATTCAGCAATGAAAACCCTACTGATTTGTTATTACGTGTTGTATCATTTGAACATGCATATATAGCTATTCATTGATAATATTTTTAGGCTTTCACCGCCAATGAAAATGAGCCTATAACCTGAATTATTATATACACAAGCGCCAGATATGAGGTATGCTGCAATCTCATTGGTTGGCTACTAGACAGATATTAGCTCATATCTATCTAGTAGAGAAAGTAAACAAAATGGCCGAATCAGCTCATATACGACTCGAGTTCGCAGAATAACTGTTAATTATCGGTTTGTAGGTATACATGCATGCCAACTGTGTTTATTCCTGCAAAGTTTTCAACGCCAACTCTGGTCTTCATTGGTGCAACTGCATGTAGGAATAAACATATACGTGCATGCATGGTGACTTACAAACTGATAATTCGTGTCGTTGTTCTTTGACATGCAAAATTACAAGAGGACAACTAAAACTACAGTCGTTGACTAAAACCATATATCTCGTAAAAACACAAGTGTGTGTAAATAAAGAAAATAGACGACATAATCTCGTTGATAAGTTAGTATAAACATTCTGAGGAACAGTTACCTTATCTAGTTACCAAAACGGAAAGGGCTTTCAGATCAATTTCCTGAAGACAAATTCGTTGCAAAATCCGCTTACAATCCGATTAGCTTGCAAAACAAACGCATGAGATCTCTTATTATAGTTGTATACGTAACGTGAGGAAGCCACGTGTTTGTGAATGTCCTCAAGACAAGCTTCGTAAAGGAGATTTATTACCATGCATGCATGTAAGTTGCCTTTCAGGAACATTGAACTTTGAGCGCGCAGAGTAAGATAGAACTAAGTATCATTGAACTAGAAAATATGTAGGTACATTTTTATATAAAAACCTCTCTTTGGTAAATTTTCATATTTGGATAGAAAATTTCACTTTGCATACACAAAAACTCTTCAATAGATAGCCAACCACTCTTAACCGATGTGACATATATCACTGTCATTGCTAGCATAACCGAATAGATTTAAATTAGTAAATAGTTTGGTAGGTAGTTTTTGGTATGTGGGTCATAATTTTTATCATGGTTGAATAGTGGCACTGTAAAATTCTTCCAAAATACCTTAAGTAAGAAGATAACCATCAATCTTTGGTCGTTTAATGTTCAAATTTAATGGAGGACAACTTAGTTAAGTATTTATGGCCAATTTCATAATAAGGTCATGCTAAAAAATTCTAACTAATCCGAATTTGATATCAAAGAACAAAATAGCGAAAATCCATACAAAATTCTTATTAAAAAATGCCAAAACCTTTTTTTATTCCCACTAGAAGATACTTCACATCCGCCTGTTAATAGCATTGGTGATGCCGACAATCATATGTCGAAATGGTAAGGTAAGATTATAGTCAAATTTATATACACTAGACGTTTCTCAAATCCCTAAATCATTCAATTAAAGCTATTCTAAAAATTTGGAAAGAGTAAGAATACTAATATTGTTCGCGTGTGTGGATATTGGGCAGGTTAAGATTAACGTTTACTCAAACTGCTAACTTCAGATCAACACCATTTTTTTAAAAGTTTATATATGATGAGCTTTGCGTCAATGCTGAGGCATGAGTTAACCACAGAATGGAAAGTGGAATTAAAAAAATGCTCTCTTACAAAATTTGCTAACAATGGAACCTTCTTTAAATTTTTTTCTAGAGATATTTGCGAACAAAAACATCCCTAACCATAAACTGTTTTATAATCAGATTTATTTACGCGACGTCACAATACGGAAAGAGAACTATAGTTAAGGTGACTCCTCAGACAGGCCGTTTTTTATCATTCCTCGTGACAGAAGTATGACGATGTATCATGCATCGTTGTTGATGCTACGTGTATGTATGCTAGAGCATAAACTATCTTTTCATTTTCAAAATAATCTTTGCGTCAGGATTATTCATTGCATGGTCCAAGGATCCTATTTACATATTGATATACTTGTTCGCAAATATCTTGCAGTATACAGAAGAAAATAAAAACCTATAGGATATATATAAACGGATGTTATGATTGTGCTTAACCTTTCGCCCCTGCGTAGGAAGGAGAAAAAAATAACCACAAAAGATAGTCGTTTGCCGTAAACGTCAATCTAAGCCCATTTCGATTCAACCAGGGTATTATTACAGAGTATAAATTATTCTACTGTTTTAAGATAATAAATCTTCCAAGGATACGTTGGTTATTTTTTCTTACTAGTTGTCACTGCCTTTTCTTCATTCTTAACTATAGATACAGTACCACTCGTTAGACTGTGAATCATGGCAGACATTTGAGCGTATTTATCAAGATGTCCTTGTTGATCTTTTAATTGCTGTTCTTTCTCCTTCACCACCTTTTCATGCTGGCTACATACCACTTCCAGAGAGGCAACCTGAAGTAAAGAGCGATTCATTTCAACTGCTCATTCTAGCTTTTTGGAATTGATATCTAACTACACTCAGTCCATTGTGTAGACGTTCATGCAAAACTCAGTCTCGAATGCGGATTTGTTTTTAACATGCAGACACCTTCCCCAAAAGACATAAAAGACGATGCCTCTCTTTTTCATTTCTCTTTTGAATTTTCGGTCATAGACTGGGGAGGGGGGCAGTAGGGCAGCTTCCCTTCTTGCATTTTAATTAATTTTACCAGCAGGGTCAAGGGAGAACTGTTTATTCTATTTGAAGAATTGTACCGCTGTTTGTCAATTTATTTTCTTAAAAATATGAAGCTAATGAGTTATAAGGAAACCCTTCATAAATCGAAATATTCCAGCAACTGTTGAACGGTCAATGTTCTGAAAACACACGTTGATATATATCAACAAAGAAGTGCCCTTTCACGGAAATTTCTTCCCCTCTGGCCTTTGAATCATTCCCGCGTCCCTGTCATGCATCGACGGAAGCGATGAATCCTTGTCGTAATTTTAGACAGTATAGCAATTAGTGAAAACACAAGAATATAAACGTAAACTATATTCATGGAGTTTTGTTGTGCCTGCGAGCGATGTGATGATGATGTTTATGCATGTGTCTGCAAAAAAATCTCATCATGCACGGTGCTGTTTTACGATGACAACAGACTAATTATCGTGTATCATCGTGTAAAGGTGATAAAATTATACAAGCAAAGCTAAATTTGCCTACAAGCGACGCTCGTGCATATTAATGAAGCCTGATAGAGTACATTAAACTAAAGCGAGTATAATATAGCGCCTTCACCCTGGCTTAGGTTTCTATATGTTTACTATAGTGATAACGGAGGCGCCCTACCATGCAGTGGCTGCTACCTTAGCCTTCCCTTGGGACGAACACAAGAGAGCAGTTCTTGGAAACACAATTGTGCGATAGAAAACGGGAAATAGGGACAATTCAAACTGAAACATGTTTCCCAGAAGTATGCCCAGGGACATCCAGAAACTTAGCTAGCCAAAAGATAATTGAGCTTGGAATATACGCAGAAATCAAACAAAGGGGCTGTTCATATGAGCCCGGCTATAACCGACATTAACGCTATAACGAAGCGGGAGAGAATCGATTTTGAGGTATTACGTATTATTGAAACCAAGCAAACACATGCTATTGTTAGAATGACTACAACACATGTTATTTACTTATTTCAATAACTCAAATTAATCTCGGGATTCTTTAACTCTCGGGTATAACTGGGCTCATGTGAACAGCCCTATAATGCATTCTTATATCTAAGACCAGGAAACGAAATCCGCTCTCGCCAAGTTAATAGGGAGGTTAAGATCTACTTCCACTACCAGACCGATACGAAAATACATGACGTATTATAGTTTGGCAGCGCGGAAATTTTAAAGCGTTAAGATTGTGACTTCCGTAAGAAGTAAATAAACATGGCGGAGTATAGCGGCTGTATTCACATCAAAAACTCTAATCACAATCCTTAAGTCTCACCAAACAAAGGAGAAACATTATACAACTAAAAGCTAAATAATATCATTAGAAAACTACTGCAGAAAATGACAATACAGTAAATATATTTCGGTACTTCGCCTACCTATCCACTTCCATTTTCAGCCCCAAAACGGTACTCGCGACTTCCAGTGCTGTCACATTTTGGACGATTGTTACATCTGCGCATGCGCGTGACTGATTATTGGTACCGGTACTCGTAGCGGAAGCCGATCTTAACCTCCCTAATGCCTAAGTACATGCACCTTGAGACCAAAACAACTAACCTTATGTGCCAGCTCCTTTCTTGCTTGCTCTTTCTTGGCGAGTTCTGACTTTGTAACTGCGAATGATTCTTCCAGCTTCTCAATATCACTTTTCTTGTTCTGCAAATTTTCAGCCTGGGCCTCGAGGGTTTCCGACAACTCTAGGAAACCATAAAAATAGGTATGCAATGCATACATGTGGGTAGCCTCCAAAGCATTGGCAAAGATTTTCAAGTTTTGTTCAATGTCAAATTACAGGTCGCAATAATGGCGGGGAAATCAACTGCATGATGCTTAGTTTTACGTTCTAATGCCATACGCAAAGGCAAAAATGGGTTTGCTAGTTGGATACAGTTATTATAACAAAGTAGACATAAGAATAATCAATGAAATACCAATGAAATACCATTTCTGCAATTAATTTATCTGAAAGTTTAGGCCAGTTTACACCGATCAGGCTGACAAAATTTCGGCTCTGCCCAGTCTCTTTCGTAGATAAACAAACTCGGCGGACAGACATGCATCATCGCTCATTGTTTTTTGCGTGTAGCATAGTGGTTAGACCGCGAACGGGCTACCCACAAAAACGAAATGATAGTCAGACAAATAGTAACTATTTTTTGCTCCTGTTGTTAAGACAGCAGTTCGTTCAGTTATGAAGGAACACACAAAGAATCCACCTGTGGAAATTCTTATCCGTAAACCGGCTTAAAAACAGAAAACTGTATACCGTTGATTTTCAGATCTTTCAGTTGCAACTGTTGCATGATTTTCTTTCTTTCCTCTTCCAATTGATGCAACTGGCGGGTTGCACTATGTTAGAAAAAAGGGATAGCATTAGGAAAAGGGTCAAGAATTGAGCATGCAGGCTAGGAATAGTTAGAGATCAATGTTGGAAATGGAAAATAAGGTTACAGTAGCTTCCAAGGGATAACTGATCAGGTGGAAGTGTCAACTCTTTTAACATTAGTAAAGTTTCAGTTAAAAGTACTTATTGATATAACATATATATATATATATATATATATATATATATATATATATATATATATATATATATATATATATATATATATATGCGGCAAGCTTCGGTGAGATGCACGTATAAAGAGGAGTTTTATTATATCTGGTCTTTTATATTGAAAATGTAACCCCCGATGAAGACACTAGACCAGAGTGTCAAAATGTTGGGTTGTAACTATGAACTTCGAGTGATGATCACTTTCGTTATTTAAAACCTGAGTAGCAATAATAGCGCCATATTCATATCAATGTTGAATCGAGTAATATAAGGCATGCATGAATTAGGTAAAACAAACGAGAGTACGACACGAGTATATAAAATAACAAGCCGTGAATTCGTATTTTCTCGCAATATATGATACTCACCAGTCATGTTGATTCTTTAGATTATCATTATGGCGTCGGAGCATTTCACTGAGTTCAGATAAAGATTCGTGTTCCTTTTGTGCGGCTTTCAAAGTTTCCCTCAAAGTCTCCGATCTAAACGTCAACATATAAACCAATAAACGAATACAGCAAAATTGAAAACCTGATACTTTACTGAGTACAGTTGGTGATAAAAGTTATAATGAAATGAATGCTCAAGGAAAATTTGACCATGCCCCAACAGTCAAGCGTGACCATGTCTTCATAATCTGGGAATCTCATTTTTGAGTGCTGAAGGCCTGTGAATAAACTGTGAAGGTTTGTGAATAAACTATTGTTTTTCGTACAAAGTGTCTAATGGGAAATGTGCAGGTAAGGTAGTTTATCACAGTAATTATCACAGTTGTAATTATGGAACCTAAGTTAGACTCTATTTCCGGTAGTCACCTGTTTGTTTGCTCTGCAAACGCGATTTTTAGTTGTTCGTATTCACCAGCCGTCACTTGAAGATTCTTAACGTGATCATGAAGTTTCTTTATCTGAAGAAATGAAAACACATAAGTTACGGCAATAAATACGCTCGAAATTCCTTTCTATTTTATGATCGAAGCGGCAGACCGTCAGACAAAAACCATGCAGTAAGAAGAGATATATTCAGATGCAATTCCCAAAACATCAGATTCATTAAATTATATACCTGTTCCGAGGATTCTTTTTCCGATTCCAAAAACCTGTTGATCTAAAAAAGAGAGCATGATGTAACAACAACTGTGAGTACTTGAAAGCACTTTACAAAATGAAATGGAAAGGTTTCTAAAAAGAAATAGCAAAATAGGTTTCTTAGCTTTTCAACAGTCCTTTAAAAGAAGATTATGTCTCGAGACGTCCTATAAACCTCGTTTCCAGGATATTTTACCTTATTGTCTAGATTCTTAACCACTTATTTAGTATTCAAATAAACAATCAAGATATGCACTAATTGTAAAATTGAAACACCCAGTATATTTTATGGTACTATGACCCCGGCCGACTCCATTGCCACGTTCAAAATGTCCTGGGAATGAGTTGACGGCCGCACCATTCTCTTAAGCCCAGTGCACACTGGAGGAGACAACTGAGCTGAGCGTCACTCGTGACTGTTAGCTGAGCTGTTTCCTCAAGTGTGCGGTGTCGTATTCTGCGTTTTCTAGCACGCGTGCTATCGGCGTCGGATATTCAACATGTTGAATAATTTGTGCACGAGTGAACATTTCCTCACAGTGTGCGCGCGTCCTGAGCTATCAGCTCAGCAGTTGGGGCGAATGATACTCGCCTAAAATCAATTTACAGCGGGTTCAAACACATTTAAAGTTAAGAAACATTACATTCATTACTTTTAGCAGTTAACAAATCACTTAAGACTTAACGGCACCGAAAAAATGAGTAACTCAAGACACCTTACCTCGTATAGACAGGCATAATCGACCAAAAACCGCTAATTTTTTTCCAGTACTGATTCGGCAACTATTAAGTTATTTTGCGTCCACTTGGGTTGTGAAAATAATTCAAATAAAGAACACACTCGCATTCGCTCCAACTGCTGAGCCGATAGCTCAGGACGCACCCGGTGTGGGAATGTGAGGAAATGTTCACTCGTGCACAAAATTATTCAACATGTTGAATATCCGACGCAGATAGCACGCATGCCAGAAAATGCAGAATACGACACCGCACACTTGAGGAAACACCTCAGCTAACAGTCACGAGTGACGCTCTGCCTAGCTGTTTCCTCCAGTGTGCGTCGGGCTTTAGACTTTATTCTTTACGTCCACATGGAAACGGACGAATTTGGGACCGTCCTCGATATCTTCCGATTTGCTTGTGAGAACACGTAGAACCGGTCAAATTTTTATTTCTCCTACCACGTGAACACCAATCTCGTTCTCCGAGCCCGCGGTGTTCTAGCGAGGAAACAAGGGCACTGGGATTATTGAAAATAGAAATGATTCTTATTGGTTGTTGTATGGAATGTTGTAATACAAAACAGAAATTGTCAAGTAATAAAAAACAAAACCGACTGAATATCGTTTAATTTTTTGCAATCGTATCAATCAAATGTTTGCCAGTATCAGCATCAGTTTCTGGCTTCCGATTTAGATTCCATAACCTAGTTACCTCGCTAGAGGATCGCGGGCTTGGAAAACAAGATTGCATGAACACCTGAACCGGAATTCTAGCGGTCCCAAATTCGTCTGGTCGCGTAGGAAAGTTTCCCTAACGGCCACTCTCCCCAATTGGCCTCCTTCCCCACAAAATACGCCCCTAGTCTCTCTGAACAACTTTTACAGAGACAAATATCGATTCTAGGACAAAGGCTTCTACAGCACATTCCGTGCATGTATCACATTGTTCCGTGCTTATTCCATATTTATAGGTCGAATTAAAAGATCTTAATCATGTAATCATGTAATAATCTTTATCATGCATGATGCATGTGTTTGCATCGTGCAATGAAGACAGGTGTTCGGCTTGTTTGGACATACCCCGAGAGTACAGATGTGATAAAACATTACATATATGCTCCAGATGTATTCTTTGTGGGCTCTGCTCTGTGGGGGTAGAGTATATATTATATTCTTCTGTGCTTAGTTACTCTACAAAAGATCAATCGTGTGTTCAGTTTTTATGTATACCTGTTCAACCTGGGCTTCACAACGTTTTTCTGTCTCTTGCAACATATGCCGTAGCTTCGTGCACTGCAACACAATAATAGTCGGGTTTTGAAGAACTTTATGAACAACAGCGAGACTAGATGTCCTTCTCTAATACTTTACTTGGTCAAATACCATTCAAGTTTTATTGTGTCAGATATAGGTTTTATTGTGTCAGATATAGGTTTTATTGTGTCAGGTAGAGCAGAGATGGAGAAATTTTCTTAACTTCAGAGTTTAGATAAAAGATTAAAAAGGATATTTTAGACGTACTCCACCAGGATATTTCTCCATCCTTTCTAATACTCATATTGTTCATAAACTCATACCGGCTATATCTATGACTAAATTGTACTGCCTACATATAATATATTGATACCTATACAACAAATACTGTAATCACCTCCGCCTCTGACTGTGCTCTTCTACATCGATACTGTGAGATCATGCGGTCAGACTGGGCAAGAGCCAACGTCTTTGCTTCCAGCAGATCTTGTAAATGACTTTCCTTTGTCTGTTGAAAAAGTCGAAATATAGATAAAAATGCATTTGGGTAATCTTGTGTGAATACATACTGCATGTGATGATATCAAAGCAATTCAATCATATGATCTTCATCCTGTAACAACTCAACTATACGGTCATTAAATTGAAGTTTGCAAGTCAAAAACGATTGATATAGGTACAGTGCTTCTAAAATGCATGTACGTTGTTTGGATTTTGATCACCTGCATGTGCAATGTTTTAAATCTATCCTAAATGAATGACTGGGATGTTTTACAAAGGACATTGCAGTCTTAGGGAAAGAATCTTACCACACCTGAAGTGAATTAAGTTTGGCTTCATAAACATCCATAATTTCTGATGCTTTCGTATCTTTTATCTGGAAAGAAGAAATCTTACATTATATCTTGATGCAGAGCAATTCAATGCAAAACTGTACTGAATTTTTTACAAAATAACTAGCGATAACCTATATAGTTCAACTAGTTTGATAGCGAACAATATATCGCAACAACTTGATAAGAAGCTTGCTCCAAGTCAAACATATCTTGCCGACAAGTCGCCCAAAATAGTTAGGTACCTCCATTCCCGACTTCATTTTATCGATTAAATTTTCAATAGTGCTTTCATATAGCATGCTGTTTACGAAGGTACTCGTCTTCGGATGATTTCGGTCGCGCCGTTTTAACGAATATTTCAGTGGATCCTTTGACAAGATGCTCGAACCAGGCTCGAATGTTGACTCCGACAATGGAGAAAGGTTGACATCATCTTGTTGTTTACGCAATGACTTCAATTCCTCTTCTTTCTTCCGATTGTTTCCAAAGATCTGTTCACCAAGCCTGGGGGGAAGTTGAGAATAATCTCTCCATATTCATAACTTTGAAACAAAATTAATCTCTTCCTACACAATGACTGATAGCATGCATATATAAAATGTTTACAATCCTGGACAAAAATACTTTTTTAAAGCGTAACATAATTTTTCTATAGTTTTTCTGAGAAGAAAATAGCTTTCAACACGGAAATTTTTATAATCCATCGATTTCCTTACCATTTAATATGAAAATCAGTTTTCCTGCACGATTCTTGGAGCACACGAAGGGCAGTTTGAATGTCATCTTTCTGGCCATTGGAGATTGTGTTCGCCAAAAATGACACAAGACGTTCGTCCTACACAGCAACAGTGGGGATATTAAACAAGATCAGTGAATTATTTAATCATATTTATTTCTTGAACTGTCCTTTCTATACGTTTCAGACATAATTAAAGTTACACTCCCAGAAAACAATAATGTGTTACTACCTGCATTAGTTCCCCCAAGTTATCCTGTGAAATATAAACATAAAAAAATGAGAATCATCAGCATATATAAATCAACTGCATAGATAGATCTACCGCTTCTATTATCTCATATTGGTTGATTACAACGAAATGAGTTATAAAAAATTACAATCAAAATTTCTCGATCACAGCATATTCGAAAAAGAGAGCATTAACATATTTTTGCATGCAGTAGGGGTTTATTAATGAATAACCTCAATATCTACCGTGGAATTAAGTATTTGACACATGCATATACATGCACATACCCTGATATTTTTGTCTTTTGGCTTTATTTTAATCATGAGATCCAATGTTTTCAAAGCCACCGCAACCCCGATCTCACTAAAAACGGCAAAGGTTGTTCTGAATGTCAGAAAATGGCGAGGTAACAACCGTAAACTGGACGACAGAATGAGCCAACCAGTAGCAACATAAGTAAGGGGCTAAAGGGGCCATGTTCTTGATGTCGCTATATGTTTGGCAGTCCATGCATGCAGCTAGTCATGCACACAATGCGGATTAATGCAGCTAATCCATGCAGCTAATCATGCACACAATGCGGATTAATGCAGCTAATCCATGCAGCTAACCATGCACACAATGCGGATTAATGTAGCTAATCCATGCAGCTAATCATGCACACAATGCGGATTAATGCAGCTAATCCATGCAGCTAATCATGCACACAATGCGGATTAATACAGCTAATCAATGCAGCTAATCATGCACACAATGCGGATTAATGCAGCTAATCCATGCAGCTAATCATGCACACAATGCGGGTAATTGCGCACTTCGCCGAACTATGCATGGTTTTGTATGAACTTTTATAAATGTTCTCCCTAACGCCAAAGCTCCACCCAAAAAGAAAATGGTTCTCATCTTTTAGAGTTACCAACAATAACGTACGTCCAAAGTGAACATGAGTATTGCATGAACAGGTTAAAATAACCTCCATATTGGAAGTAGTTAGAACTTTCTTCCTAGTTCTTATTCAGGTTAGTACATATAGGAAAGTAAATTTAAACCGTATAATATAACATTTGTAAGCTATATATGCATGTTAATATAATATAAAGCTGTCACCTAGATTTACCTCGGACAAGTCAATTCGTAGCATAAACTCTTAATTAAAACAGAACTTGTTTTGTGTTCTATACACGCTTGTGAGGACATGTCGCCCTGCTTGAGCAAGTCACACAAACCGTCGGAAGTGATAACGCCAGGCAAAAAACAAGTCCGTTGTCATACGCGCGAAACGGTGCATTAAGTGATTAAATATAATAGCAACATACACAGTATCTCAACATGTCCGGATTGCAAAACGTCATTGCGACTTTGCCATCCCATGTGAACGGACACCGCAGAAATTGGTGTTTAAGACGTTTCAACCCGAAAATCTAATCGCTGGTTCACAATTGTGCATTTCTGTATCGCCCTATCAAAGAGAAACCTTTTGAATATCTTAAAAAAGTTCAATTTTTCTTCTGAATACGCATTCTGCAATCTTTTGACAGCTCATCATACACATCTGACCGCTGTGAAATGGCCATTTTGAGGCCTAAAGTATACACAAGGTTATTAATTCAGACGATTCGTTTTTACCGTGAGCAAGCTTCAAATCTTTTGTGCAAGACATATTTTCTTGAATATTTATAAATCTTTTTCCTCACCAAGTTTGAAGTCTAAGTATCGAGAATTGCGGCTAAGCCTATACCAATTTCCGCGGTGTCATGTGAACGAACATTCAAAGCAGAATATATTGTAAAAATGAAATGGTACCGGATTACGTTATTTTAGGTATAATTAACATAAGTGTACAATAATTGTATATCTTACCTCCAATCTGCCGTAAAACTGAGCCTATCCTTCATTGCAATATCATTTAGCCTATACTGTTGTTCCACTAGATGCAGCAATATATCAAACGGAATGATCTCATGAAGATGCTTCGCTATTTCTTCTTCTCTGGCTAACACTAATTGAACATTTAATAGAAAGAAGTAATTCGGAAGGTTGCCCAAAAAATTGGAGGTTTGACTTCCTTAAAAATTCTCACCGACGTATTTACCGTTATAAAGAATGATTATGTTTTGGGAGGTGTGCTTTGGGATTATTAAGATGGTCGCCGAAAGCTGTTAATAAAATTTCTAATAAAATTTTATGAAATAAACATTGCCATTATTTTCGCAGAATGTGCATTTCGTTTTTTTTTTCGAACAAGAGTATATCATGCTATAGCATCTGGTCTGGCAGCCCTTCTTAACATTTTTTTCGTTTTGATTATTGTGTTGTCGTTCTCAGCTGTTCATAACATTTCGTTCGGAAGCGAACGGCAACTGCAAAGGTATTTTTTCTCTTGCGGTCGTCTGCCGTTTCTATCGGTGGACCGCAACCGCAGTGTTAGGTTATTTCTGGAAGTACTGTATATATACACTACAACTACAGAAGAAATTGTACTTTTACCCAAAATACTCAATAGAAGGCACGCGGCGGGCTAATAATATTTTATGTTAAAAAGGTGAGGGTATACCAAATAAACTCCACTCACCTGCTAAAACATCAAGCACGTGAACAATCTTCTCGAGTTTCTTTTCCGTTGCATGACCAGCAACGTTTGTTGGGGCCTCGAGATTCTTGATCAAGCTTGGTAGCAGATTCTCAACACGTGACATTACATATTCAGATTCGCCGTTTGCAATAGCCTCCTGTATTGCAATTCAATAAATATACAACACACATATTAAAAAACACACATATGAAAAAAACTAACATTGAGCTTAATGAAACACCTTAGAATCGAGTTACAACTCGAGTCCCCAGTGCGGCTTTCATACAACCGGCCCCTGGATATTAATTAATTTCTATTATTTATATTATATTAGAAGCTTAATAAGTCGAATTAATTTCAATATTACTGTTCAGTTTGCCCCCATAATTATCAGTATAATCGGTCCCACAATACTGCCCCCCCCCCAGTCGAACGCCTTCCCCTAACATCCATACTGCACCCATCCTAGTCGAACGCCTTCCCCTACCATCCATACTGCCCCCTCCCTCTCCCCTTAGACTCCAGTACAACATACTGTACCTCGAACATTTCCTTGAAAAATTCCAAAGCTTTTATTGAAACGAGATGCAGTTCAGTGTCTACATTCACCCAGATCAAGACACAACCAAAAGCATCGTCTGGCTCACAGGTATCATTGGATGATTGGCTTGATTCAAATACACGATGAACAATACTACGAAGATCAGATACGCCACAAAACGCCAGCAAAAACTCAAAAATCTGTAGAGTCAAAAACTAGAAGTTACAGAGAAACAATAGCCCTTGCAGTGGGCGAAAAAACCACTCATCTGTTATGATAGTCACTATGTATACCACTGCCTTACTATGTACAACTACATTTGCAGTTATCGAGTAAATAGAACTATTTTCTATAGGGTGCATAGTTGTACGAAGGCTGTGAAGCGCTATTCTAGTCGAATGGTGTTTGTTTTTAACCATTGCAAAAAGTTTGAAATGAAACGAAGTTTTTCAATTATATCCAAACAAGTATATGTTATGAGTACCTTTTGCGCTTCATCTGGCTCACATCTTGAAAGCAAGTCCAAAGACTGATTGAGATAAAAAGCGAGATGATCATAACTAAAATAAAAAACATAAATTATCATAATTAATACCGTAATTACCCCTAGCAATCTTCATCCGACCTTATAGTTAGAAATAATATGCACAACATTTAGTTTGCCACATGTTTTTGTCCATGATGCATATGAAACCTTCATGACTCGTAGCTGAGTTGGTAGAGCTCACACAAAAGATTGTTTCCCGCTAATTCATGGATTAGTGACTAATGACGTCACGCATGGCATACGTGACTAACGTAAGCTCGATATGATCAGGAAATTCTATGATTGAATGGAGCCGCAGGGGGGACGCAAGCACGATAACTGGGAGCGGGCGGGCGACCAGTATTAGGAATATATGAATATATCCCCCTTCAATTATCGTTCTTGCAGCGCACCTGTGGAGCTGGTTTGAATCTGATTTGAATACTAATAGCTGATTAAGGCGGGCACAAGAAAAACAATCTCATGAGGACTCGGGAAAGAATCAAGGAGTAAAAAAGTGTGTTTTAAATTTTAAGCAAAAGTTTTGCAATGAATGGATATTTTCCGTCCGAAAGCATCAATTTCCAAGCTTGATTTCCTGATTCCTTGCTTAATTTCAAGTGTTCTCAACTCCGTACGAACAATTGTCACAATAATCTTTTGTGGAATTCGGCAGTAGCAGCCCCAGGGTAAGGTAGAATAAATTACCGCAACTCTAATATTTAAAAACACTATTTTCTAATCTATAACCAATAGCGTGGTTAATAAGGTATTTAGGTTAAGCCGTGTAATTCATTTTCCCTAACCCTGGCCCCACCACTGCCTTACCATAGAACATGAGAGGGCTAGAAGAACTTTGATATGTGAATATCCTCGCGCATGTCACATTACGCATATTATCTGCCATCTTTTTAGGCAATAATCACGCTGGGTGAGAAGCATATTCATAAACCGTTGAGTGGTCCATCTAGTTCTCTCATTATGCTATGCATGAGCTTACGAAATTATGTCAGTATTTTGAGCCGTAAAGGAAACGCAGACTGTATAGAGAACGCAGACTGTATACTTGGGTAATAACAAGTCGCAAACATTGGTAGATGTAATTAGCGTAAATGAAGAACTCCGTTACATAGCATGTAAAACAGTACCTTGAAAGAAAGTGTTTGATCTTATCAGTCGGCAACAAGTCAACAAACAGATCCACAGAGTATTTGCGTGCCAAAATTCCCTCGCCATTAATGAGAATGTTGAAGAGCAGTTGAAAGGTCTGGTCGATATTCTTATGATTGAACAGCTAAAGAATACAAGATGTTGATTGGTGGGATGTATGAATAATATAAAAACATACTATTAATACAGGGTGTTTCAAAAAGTATACCCTAAATACGACGCGCGCTTGTCTCTCTTCAAAAAATTCTCTCGCACCTCTAACATTAAAATTGTTCATGATACATTTTGACTGTCAAGTTGTTTTGGTGCACGTGCAGTTTACACCTTGAAAGTACAATAGGAATAATTATAGAATTTTAGGAGTATTTGAAGATTTAGATAGAAAATTATTAGAGAAGAGCATCCCGGTCGGCACCAAATCCAGGCATAGGAAATGAATTGCCATTTTTTTCTTTTGATTTAGACAAGCATTCGAGCATGCATTAAATTAGTTTCAGATTTTGCAAAGAAACCTGCTCGGCTTTCTAAAAAACGGCAAGAAATGTAGGTTTGGATCTCAAACAATTTTAATGGTAGCTATCCCAGAAAGCTTGCTTACACTTGCTTAAAGCTTGCTGCGATTTTATGTGCGATCTCCTTCTTTTGATAGATGTGAATGAGTAATTAGTTACGAATGGTCTGATGTATAAGAACTCTTATTTGAACATCCGTAATAATTCACTCATTCACATCTAGCAAAAGAAGAAAATCGCACATTTTGAAAATTGTAGCAAAAATTGCAAGTGTAAACACTAAACACCACAGTGCATCATCAGGGACCAGGGCACTTTTTCAAAGAGTATACTTTTTCGAGACAACCTGTACAACCAGGGACGATCTCTAGGCAATTATATCCTCGCATCAGATGTGGCATAATAACAACTGCCTGAGATATAGACAAAAACACTTCCAGACGTTTCGACCTGAATGGTTTTTGTCTATTTTATTGTCTTTTTTTGCATGTTCTTTGATGCGAAGGACATTAGAGCCACTATACTGGGCATTAATTATGTGTAAAAAATAAAAAAGAAATAACAGTTTATATATAGGCTATATACCACTCATAATGCTTTATGTAGCATAAACAGTGAGAAAGTTTCAACAATACCTTCTCGCCAAGTTGTTCTTTTAAAGCCAGGCTTGTTATAAGCGATAAAGCATACACAATCACTGTCAAGTTATGATGTGACAAAAATTTCACCAAGCTACGGTAGATGTATTTAATATTGTCCTAAAATTGAACAGAATAATTTTACTTTACTTATTAATAGTCAAATGGCGCCTCTCCAAAAACCCCTTATTTAATAAGCCACCGCACGGCTAAGATTGGTACCCGATATTGTCAGTGTTCAGGGTACAAATACAAAAGCCGCGGGCACTGATGAAATGGGTATATTTATTTTATCCATGCTGTTCCGATGAATTGAGTGTTGTGTAAACGGGCCTATAATCTCTGCAAGGGTTAAATACAATTGGTTATTTCTTCGTATTAGGCTACAACCTAACCAGTGACCAAAAAGGCAATTGAACGACAAATTATATTCAGATATCTCATACGTACACGAAAGTTTAAGAAAATCTAGTTTCTTAGTGCCAAGTAAAAAAGAAATGCAAATCATCTAACACGTTACGCTACACACCAAAGCTTTTACTTGGGCTTGTACAGCAATATTGTTCCGGCAAAGGTTGGCTAATGTTCCTAATGAAGGCATGGTTAGTTCACATTCAACATCTTGTCTATAAATAAATAATGCATAATTTTCCATCAATAACTCCATACAGAAAGGGGTTTTGGTATCTACCTAATAGAGATATCTTTAGTTCTAATACGTATACGCTTAGAGCTGTCAGTGAAGGGAAAACTCTTGACCCACACACATCCTATGTCGAAGAGATACCTACAACAGCCTTCTCAGGAGCTTTAAATAATAAAATATAGGACAATACAGGCTTTACATGGATCAGTGGCTAAGCTGAGTGAGCGCGCAGAGGGTAAAAGCCTGTAGTGTGTCTACATTTATAGTTGTTTAAAGCGCCTGGGTACGAGGCTGTACAAACATCACCCTTCGCAGTGGTTTTGCATCTTCTACAAAGACGTTTTGAAATTTTCGAAAATAGCTAGTGTATGTTTTTGGCTGAATACTGATATTTTGGAAACAAATACGGTAGTGGATGACACCTCTTCTATCTGTTATCTGCTCTCACAAACTCACATTTCATTAACTAAAAATTTGACCAGATCATGAATATGAGCAACTGCCAGAGGATATCGACAATCGTATGTAACACGTTGTAACAACTGTAAACACTGCAAGAGAAAAATTATATCGTTTTCCCCTCCGTTATGATTCCTTTACAATTTACATGCTTTTCCTACATATAAGTCGCATAGGTCCATGATCTAAATATTAATGCAAGTAAAGATGGGAGGAATCTTGTCTACAAAGAACGTTTGTTAGCTCTCAATATTCTTCCAATATCTTACAATAGAGAGATAAAGGACTTAACATTCTTTTTTAAAGCTATATGTATGGGTACATAATACAGTAATTAGTACAGACAGTAGAAGCTGACCGCGCGCGTAAACAATGTGGTCGAAGACTGAGTACAAACAGATTTCTGGGCTACTTATGGTCGTACTCGTAATTGCAGTTTAAACCCTAGTTTAATGCTCAAAGTACCCTCATGTAAAACAAGTACATTCCAATCATCGTTTTTTAATTGTATCGTTCCTATTTGGAACTGTGTTTGTAGAACTGCTCAGCCCTCAGACCTACGTAGCCTGGCAATGTTCAAATCGTTTCTCTCAAGAACGTATTTACATTTATTAGTGTCTTATGTCGATGCCCTGTACATGGTCATTGCGTAGAACCTGTTCATGTCATAGAGCTTGATTAACATGCGAAGAGAACTTATGCTATTACCTGATTCTAAATTATTTAGTTGTTTCTTAAATTATCTTAGGCAACTATCTCTTTCCGAAAAATTTAGATATTTTGCAAAAAAAACCCAAAAAACAACAACTTTGATTTTCGAGCTTGTGGCATTATGCTAATTATTCGATGCGTGTAGCTATATAATTTATGTTTCTTCTGTGTGTTATTTGTTTTTGTACATGGAATCGGAGGAATGCCTTGCATGGGACCTCGCGTCCCGTTTGCATTTTTTCCGTTTGAAAACAACGCCCGATTTATTTGAACACGATACAAATTTCTTGATGAAGTCTCGAGAACAATCTGTAATAGCTCGCGAAAAGTGATAACTTTAAAATCCACAGGACCCTTTCGTCTAGCTACCATGCAGGCTATTATATGGTACAACGTGTACTGTAGGCATGCTATAACCGTACCATGGCTCTCACGTTGGAGGGCTTGCCAAGCATGTCCGAATATTTTGCCGGAAAAACAAGAAAACCGAACTTTTTAAATAGTCCGCCCGCAATATCATTTTGATTGTAAAAATTCAAATTATATGAACAAAGAGATATTACCACACCTGGAATATAATGCCTTCATTTGATGATGAATGAGAACTGTGCTCAAGTAGCAGTCCTGTTAATGTGGATGTGAGATGATAAGAGTCGCGCAGCATAATCCTAGTTTCATTGTCGAAAGCTGAAAGATAACAAACCTTATCAACATATAGTGAAAACAACTTTTATTGTAACATATTGGTTTTGACTCCAGTAGAGGGTATGTCCTTAATACTGTACCATCGCTGGTACTATCAAGGGAGATGCGGACATCTCTCTTGTAAACAAAAATAAAGGGAACTATTACAATAAACAAACCATGGAATCTATATCCTACACACATAACATAACTTTTACATAATTCCTTTCTAATATATCAATACCTGCCTTAATAGGGATATTTTTCTAAAACAATATATACTTTACGAATGATGACATCTCTACATTGAATTAACCATCTTAATATGTATCTTTAAATGTTCAATAGAAACACTTCTCTTACAACAACATCTCCCAATCAGTTTAAACATACTCTAATTTCAATTTTAATATAAAAGTGCACCATCCAACCAAATATACCCCGAGGTCAGTCTCCAAATGGGTATTTATAGGCATTAAATTTAAACCCATATGGCAGGTTGGATAACCTTATAGATATCAATATGTATGTTAATTACAACTTGGCTGATAAAGTAAACTTGCAATTAGGTTGCTGAACTTTTACACATGCAATGATAATGAATAAAGCACACATACCTAGGCTATACAGGAGCAACAAGCACTTGCTCGTCAGTCTTGGTTTGTTATTTATTTCACTTAGCATACTAACAAGTGATGTAAGACATTCTGTTGGCAGCAATTCTCTTGCTGTAAAACCACTCAATGATTTGTCATTTGATGTGATGCCAATAAGAACCTAGGGAAAGATCAACAAATTAGTACATTAAACAGTGAATTAGTGCAAAAAAATTTAAATTTTACAAATCAACTAATCAAGAACTAATAAAAACATGATTTTAATTGGTGAATCCTGTCACCAACTATAATTAAAAAATGCTTAAGGTTTAATTGGTTGACATTAATGTTGACACTAGTTGATTTACTGTTTTCTGTATTTTATTAAAAATTTACTTTATGTTTAAATATTAATAATTTATAGAGAATATTTTAGACACAAATAAAAGCAATATAGCAAATAAAAGCAATTTTATTTTATGACGTTTCAATGCTATGTCTTGCATCACTTCAAGTAATAAGCAAATCTACATCAACATTGATACGCAATTGGACTCAATTCATTCTAAACTATTTAATTCGTATGTTTTTAATATTCCCTTGTATGTTGTTGTAATATTTTAGTGTCTGGTCTGTGAATTATTTTGCATATATACAGTATAACTTTGTTTGTATAATCTAGAATACGCTGGTAATAGTGCATGCAAGTAGAAATTTAAATTGCAATTAACATGCATTATGTATAATTGACAGTCTTTTAGACCATTGAACCAGTGCAGTCATGTAGATTTATTTATTACTTAATTGAAAGTGATGCAAGACGTAGCATGGAAATGTCAAATTTGCTTTTCTTTGTGTTTAAAATTAGTTTATATACTTACAAAATTTATAGGCAGCCCGGTCAATGTGGTTATGTCATACTATCTTATGTATGTAACACACACACACTCTTTCTCTCTCTCCTGGACGTTATTGCCAAATTAAGCCAAATAAATGGGATTGTGCTTGTTCTTTTTAGCATTGGCCAACATTGCAGGCCTTACCACAAAATACATTACAATTTTGTAACTCCACACTAAAGATTTCCAGCAAGGTACACAGAATGCACCCTAGCTGGTATGGATATAATTATTACTCTTCAAACTACATATGTACATTGCATTTAATGTGGTATATTGTTGAAAAGCTGCCTAAAATAGACAAAATATCGATGACTATAACTCTCATTTAGGTCAAAACATCAAGATACGTTTTTGTTTATGTTTAAAGACTAGTTAATATTTTGGAACATATCTACATTTGTACATGTTTTCTTATCCAACTTGAGGTCATATCTGCCTTATCTGCACAGTTTGTTAAATTATTCGTCTGTGCAAATTTAATAATAAATCATATTTCAGAGTCTGAGCAGTTCACACACATAAACTTGATGAGATGTTTTGATTGTTTTCTCAATACAACTACAAGGCCTCTGAGGTATTTACTATTTCCTGTGCACCTAATCTACGGTTTTAGCGTAGCTTTTAAGTGCATTTCAAAACAACTTTCAAAATTATCGAATATAACGAATATAACTTACGTCCATCTGCCGTTCAACATATTTGAGCGTTTGTTCATTGGGATGGCTACGGTATTGGCAACACGCGACTGAGAATGCTTTAAGACATGCATTTATGTCCAAAGACATCTTTCAAAAAAATTCATATAATGCATCAAATAAAAATCTTTTTGGTATTAAATTCTTATCAACGTTGCGAAGTGTGAACAATTTCCAACATTTTGAAATCAAATCCAAGATTCAAATATTTCGTCTGCCTTCGCGGGGGACGTGTGCGCATCAGATCTGCGCATTTTTTAAAAACTGTACTCAAATGAGGGACTCGTAACGGGCAGCAGTGGTTGGCAGGGACACCGGAACCGTAAATAAATACGGAACACCGTATATACAGCGTAAAATCGTTTACCCTGAGGCGTGGCGACCAGGGGTGTTGGAAGATGTGACATCCACTCGAAAATTACATGTTCGAGAAAAAATTAAGGTAGCTCCCTGCATATTACTCCGGCGTCAGCGACGGAGTTGAAAATTCTCCTCGGTTTTGTTTTGTTTTTTTTATTTTGTTTTTTTTATTTTTCGTCGTCGCAAGTGTGTAATGGCGCGAAATATACTAGTATTTGAAATGTGTATGTGACTTAACAATTGAAATGATAAAAATAAAAAACATCCTAGCTCCACTGGTAAGGTCATGCAGTTCTGGAGACGTTTGTTTAGAGAGCTTATACCTGCTTGCTTCTAGTTAGTCTCAATTTCCGCATCACCCTCCGTTCATCTTCAAAAAATCACGTCCGTCTTCACGTCCGCCTTCAAAAAATCACGCGCCTTTTTGAATATTATATCACAATCATACAAAAAAAAGCTGAAGGTTGAACATATAACATTTCATATAAAATCAAAATTAAGGTCCCAAATCTAAGCTCGATGCTTTTTCAGTACTTACCAGGTAACCTGACCTGAAAAACTTACGAAACTTGAAATAACGCTTCTTTGGTTATTGATTTATGCTCTCTGGCAATGAAAACTATCCGACTAACAATGTCGATGATTACATTGTTTGCCTCGATCTCGGTCTATAGTCTGAAGTACATAAAACTGCTCTTTGATTAACAGTATAATATTTTTGTATTTTCTATGAATATAGTGTTTAATCATTTCAATGTCACAGCAAGTACGACAGTCCTTGTTCACGCTATAATCCCAAGAATTGAAGTTCTTGATAAATGTTTATCATCAAATGTTTATTTATCAACGTCATCAAAAATCACCAACCCAAAGTAACCCGTAATGGTTAACATGCAACCGTGAATATCAAAACCCTAACATAACATATATTTAACGTCAATTTAGCATTTAGAAATTTGCGCGTAACAACCTTCCGTTTTCAAATTACGCGTCAAGCGAAGAAAAGTAGCTAGCCTAGTAAGTCTACTTCAATGTTTACGCAAATTACTTTTTTGGATAGCATGGCATGGCTTTGGCGCACAGTTAAGCCAACATTCAAGGGATATATGCAGGATGCTTTGCTATACCTTACGGGATTTCTTTCAAATCACATAAAAATACTTCAGCTCAACTATTTTAGGGCTGATCGCGTAATTTTAAAAACGGAACTCGGTAGTGTTAAGCTCTGGTCAAACGAGAATGCAAATTAGGGCGTGTTGTAAGGACGCACCGAAAAGTGAATATAACGGTCAATCCTTTAAAACTTTCTGGAAGCCTGATTCAAAGTCAACGAGGGGTAAACAAACGCAAAAGCGACGGCGCTATGTAACTTTTATCAATACGCATTCTCCTCTGACCAAAATTTACATTACAAATTTCTAAGGCCTCGTTTACACTGTACAGGATTCGCTTGTCAGATATCTTCGTTTGCCTTTAAAGGGCAATGGTGAGAAGTAAATACTTCTCTGAAAAATTAAAATTTTTCACTGCCTTTTAACAGCTACAAAATGTGACCCACCCTGGAAGCAATCCGGTATAGTGTAAACAGGGCCTAAGAGTGCATAAAACCTAAACAACAAAATCCACATCCCTAGTCAACACTTGTCCCACTTGTCTGTCAAAACCAAAATAAACGAGTCTTTTCTTCAATGGTAGCCTAAACCAACACCTTTATCTTTTCTCCTTTGTAGAGCACTTGAAAACTGTTCGTCCAGAGAAGAAACAAATGCTTTTTGTTGTTGCTCGTTCATCGCCTTGGTTGAATAGGTTGTTTTTTGTTCTTTTGACGACGGCTTGAAAGCTCCCATTAGACGAAGAAATTTTTCCTTCGTTCAACATTGGAAAACTCAGCAGTTGCCCATTGACTGTCACTCATTTCAGTTTTTTCTTCAGTATTTTTAGAAATAACTTCGCCTGAATGCTTCCGTTTCTTCGTCTTTTTGTCTTTTTCGTGACTATCAGTTTGCTCAGAGAACTCACAACTAGCAGAAACAGCAGTGGCCATTCCATCTTTTAAATCCACGTTAACTTTGCTTTGTTCAATGGGAATTTGGTCCTGAGGGTTTTCATGCGACTGTTTTTTGCTTTTCTCCCCTTCTTCAGTGATAACACGACTCGCATCAATTTCACGTTTGTTTTTCTTGTGCTTTTTCTTTTTCTTGTTATCACTAACAGTGACACCACTACCACCCGGAGGTGTTTATCGCAGCGATCGGAGCCCCGGCATTGCTGGTTTTACCGATCAGATCTCTATTAACAATATCAACATCGACATTAGTACTGGCTTGCCTACACTTGCCCTCAGTTTCTTCTACTAATTTTTCAGGCAATAATTCAGTTTCTGGCTTCCGTTTTTCAACTCTTCCTGTTTTCCCTTTACTACCCGACTCCTCAGTTACACCACACTGTGCATCTCTATCGTCTTCTTCTTTGCCTTCGACTTTTCCCTTTACGGTTTCTGAAAGGGAATCTTTGTGTTTCGTTTTTTTTCTTTTCTTCTTTTTCTCATGACTCTCCTCGCTTTGAGCATGATTTTCAGTTTCTTCAAGCAATATATCACTTTCACATTTTCGTTTCTTCATCTTTTTTGTTTTTTGTCCACTAGCCGAATCATGAATAGAGGCAAGAATGCTAGGGGACATTTCATCACCTTCACTTTTCACTTTTACCTCTTCTGATGAGGGAGATTTCTTTTCACCGTCAGTCGACAAATTTCCTTCCAGCTTCTCCCTTTTCTCGTCCGTTTGCTTCTTCTCCTTTTTCCTTTTCTTATCGGCCTCATCGGGAAGATCGAAGGTCTTTGTAGACGTATCCTTATTCGTTTTAACTTGATCGTTATTTTCACTTGCATCACCCTTTTTACCTGCAGATACTGGATCTACGTTGTCTAATGGCAGATCCACTTCAGATTTCCGACTCTTTTGTTTTTTCTTTTTCTTATGCTTAATCGACTTTTCGTCTAAATCACACGGTGTTATATCGCTGCAGGCCATTTCACTTGGAGTCACTATCGCATGTAGAACTTCTTTACCGGATATTTCTCCTTTCTGTTCTTTCTTCTCTTCCTGCTTTTTTTCTTTCTTTCTTTTCTTGTGACTGTCAGACCCCTCTATACGATTTAAGCTCTTCATCGATGTATCCTTGGTCGCTGTAACTTGATCATCGCCTTCATCTCCATCATATCCCACGCCAGACGTTCGATTTGCGACTTCTAACGTTATGTCTGCACTCGCCTCGCCTTTTTCACCACTAGACACCAGCTTTGTGACTTTTAACGGTCTACTTTTGTCTCCTTCAAGCATCTGACTTGTATTTTTGGTATTCTTAAGTGACTCCTTTTCTAAGGTGCATGGTGGTACATCGTTGCTGACATTTCCCTCTTCAGTATATGTTGTATTTCCAATTTTCTCAAGGGTGGATTCTCCTTCCCGCTGGTCTCTCTTCTCTTTTTTCTGCTTCTTTGCCTTTTTCCTTTTCTTATGATGACTCTCATTAAGATCAAAAGTCTCTGCTGATGTATCTTTGTTCGATTTAACTTCGTTTCTTTTCTCAATGGCACCATCTTTTTCACCGTCAGGCATTTGATCCACGTTTTCTAATGGCGTATCGGCTTCAGATTTCTGTTTCTTTTGTTTTATCTTCTCCTTATTCTTAACTGATCCTTCATCTAATTCACATGATGGCATATCGTTGCAGATCACCCTCCCTGCAGCCCCAGTTTCATATAAAATTTCTTTAACGGATATTTCTCCTTGTTGGCCGTTTTCCTTTTCTGGTTTTCTTGATTTTTTTCTTTTCCTGTGATCGCCAGATGCATCTTTATTCGCTTTGGTACGATCAACATCACTTGCCTCGCCTTTTTCGCTCCCAGATATTCGCTCTACGGCTTCTAACTGTGTGTCCCCTCCTAGTTTCTGTTTTTTTTCTGCTTTCTTATGCGTAAATGACTTCTCTTCTAAGTTACATGTTGTTGGTATATCGTTGCAGACCGTTTCATGTGCAGTATTTGTCGTATCTTCAATTTTGTCAGTCGATAATTCTCCTTCTTGTTTGTCCTTTTTCTCGTCTTTCTTCTTCTTTGCCTTTTTTCTTTTCTTTTGATGACCAGACTTCACATTAATATCAAAGGTCGCATCCTTGTTCGTTGTAACCTGATCAACAACATTTGCCTCGCCTTTTTCACCGCCAGACATTCCCTCAACGCGTTCTAAAGGTACGTCCAATTCTGATTTCTGTTTTTCTTCTTTCTTATGCGTAAATGACTCCTCTTCTAAGTTACATGTTGTTGGTGTTGTTGGTATATCGTTGCTGACCGTCTCATCTGCAGTATTTGTCGTATCTTCAATTTTGTCAGTCGATAATTCTCCTTCCTGTTTGTCCTTTTTCTCGTCTTTCTTCTTCTTTGTCTTTTTTCTTTTCTTTTGATGACCAGACTCCACATTAATATCAAAGGTCGCATCCTTGTTCGTTGTAACCTGATCAACAACATTTGCCTCGCTTTTTCACCGCCAGACATTCCCTCAACGCGTTTAAAGGTACGTCTAATTCTGATTTCTGTTTTTCTTCTTTCTTATGCGTAAATGACTCCTCTTCTAAGTTACATGTTGTTGGTATATCGTTGCTGACCGTCTCATCTGCAGTATTTGTCGTATCTTCAATTTTGTCAGTCGATAATTCTCCTTCCTGTTTGTCCTTTTTCTCGTCTTTCTTCTTCTTTGCCTTTTTTCTTTTCTTTTGATGACCAGACTCCACATTAATATCAAAGGTCGCATCCTTGTTCATTGTAACCTGATCAACAACATTTGCCTCGCCTTTTTCACCGCCATACATTCCCTCAACGCGTTCTAAAGGTACGTCCAATTCTGATTTCTGTTTTTCTTTTTTCTTATGCGTAAATGACTTCTCTTCTAAGTTACGTGTTCTTGGTATATCGTTGCTGACCGTCTCATCTGCAGTATTTGTCGTATCTTCAATTTTGTCAGTTGATAATTCTCTTTCCTGTTTTTCCTTTTTCTCGTCTTTCTGCTTCTTTGCCTTTTTCCCTTTCTTGTGATGACCGGCCTCCTTAGTAAGATCAACGGACTTCGTGGATGTATCCTCATTCGTTGTAACTTGATCGTTATTTTCACTTGCATCGCCTTGTTCACCCACAGAGACTTGTTTTATGTTTTCTATTGCCATATCAACTTCAGGTTTTTGTTTCTTTAGTTTTTTTGCTTTCTTATGCTTAACTGGCCCTTTCTCTGGCCCACATGTTGGCACATCGATACAGACAACTTCCCCGCCAGTCTGTATTTCATGTATACTTCCTTTAACGGCTATTTCTCCTTCTTGTTGTTCATTCTTCTTATCTTCTTGTTGTTCATCTTTCTTATCCTCTTGCTTCTTTGCTTTTTTTCTTTTCCTGTGACCGCCAGACTCCTTAATACGATGATCAAAACCATCAGCAGGTGTATCCTTGATCATCACAATTCGATTTTTATCTTTATCTTCCTTGCCCTTTTTACCTCCAGACATCTGCTCTAAGACCTCTGATAGTAAGTCTATTTCTGGTATCTCTTTTTTGTCTTTCTTATCTGTATGTCCGAGGCTCTTCGCGTTGCTCGTTATGACTTGATCGCTTTTTTCCTTGGCATTTAAGTTGTCTAATTGTATATCCATTTCTGGTTTTTCTTCTGTTTTCTCATGTTTATCTGATTTCTTTTCTAAGCCAGAACTTGGCATATCGTTGCAGACAACTTCGTTATGCACCACTTCTGTAAGGGATAATTTGCTTTCTTCTTGGCTTTTCTTTTCTTCCGTAAGTTTATCATCTAATTCTACTGAAATATTTTTACCTAATTCTTTCACATTTTGATCCATTTCCGCTTTTAGTGAAGGTTTAATCTTTCGTCCCTTCCTGTAAAAAGATAACAGAATAAAATGAAAAAATAGATGAAATAAATATTTTAGTTTTATATATAGTTTTAAATTCAATGTATGGTATGGTACTTCTAAGACAGCCACAGTAATAAAATCAACGTTTGCAGTTATATAGTCGAATTGCAATGGACCCAGACCAGCTTATCAATTATGTAACAAGAAGGGAGAAATTACTACAGGTAAAAAGAGCATACGGAAGTAGTACGCAAGATATAGCCATGTGAAGTAGGCAATTTTTGTATACTTTGTATACTACGGGCGGAAGTGTGTAATTACACTCTTCCGACTATGATACAAAAGTATACAAAATTTGCCAAATTCGCTTGGCTAAATCTTCGGTACTTCACAATATTTCGCAGACAAACTTGGCACTTTTACTAAGTTTAGTATGTTTTTTTCGAAAATTTCCTTTTGTCTCCTTAATCAAAAGTTGGTCTATTACGCAAGTGGTCCATTCTTTTACAGTCGAAACATTTTCCCTAAATTGTTTAATGATAGGATATGTTCTTTTTGTTTTGTTTTAATTGTTGAATTAATGTATTTAAAGTTGACTGTATAAACACTGTAGGTAAAAGACTATACTTTGGCATTAGTTAAATAATAGACAGCGGACTCGTGTTTTCATTCAATTATATAAATAAATAGGCTAAGACTTTGATATGTAATAATCACATCAAAAACTGCACAAAACGATCACCGAACAGAACCAAATTGTTATAGTCTATACGACCATGGCACATGTATACAGCATAAACTTTGCTAGATAAATTCTTGAGATATATAAACAAGATAAATTCTTGGTATATTGCATTGTGTAACAATTACAAAAAGGGGCACCAGGTTTTCACCAACTAGATGGTTTGTCGTTACACGGGCAACCAAAATAGGTATTCTCATATTGCTATGATTAGAGTTGCTATAATATACTAGTATAGAAACCACCAAGAAGATGTATAAGATACTCCATCACCAGAATTGATATAAATTTTAGTTTCTTATATTTAACATAAAAAGTAGTAAGTCAACACAAAAATTAAATAAAATTGTTCATTTGTCTATATTCATCAGCCACATTATAATAAAGTTAACCACACTCACTATCATTATTAAATATATATAGTTGATGAGTGGATATAGGGAAGACAAGCCGAGAAAGACCGCTTTGAGAGACCTGCGTATTCTAATGAAGATTTTTGGCAATAACCTCTGATTAATAAAAGACATGTTCATAGTGTATTTAGTTTGGTATAATAAACCATTGTCCCATATACGTTAATCATGCTTCACCCTTCATTAAATGACTTATTTCTGATCAGCCATACTGCATCCAGATTAGTTGTTAAATTATAGAAATCCATTTCTCGGTGGAAACAACTTACGTTGGTCTTATACTAAAAAATTGTTTTCCCCTAAGTTCAAAAAATATAAAAATCTTTTTATGCCATATTGTAAGCGAAGTTGCTCTCAGTGAAAAAAGATTTGTACGAATCTGCAAATCAGACACACCCAATGGTGGAAAATAAACGATTTTTATAAACACGATAACTAACTAGCTTGATAAACACGATAACTATAACTAGGTTGATAAACACGATAACTAACTAGCTTGATAAACACGATAACTATAACTAGGTTGATAAACACGATAACTAACTAGGTTGATAAACACGATAACTAACTAGGTTGATAAACACGATAACTAACTAGGTTGATAAACACGATAACTAACTAGGTTGATAAACACGATAACTAACTAGGTTGATAAACACGATAACTAACTAGGTTGATAAACTCGATAACTAACGCTAGAACAACAGAATTGGTTTCGCTTGGTTGTAAATATTTTTGCCTCGGAGCTGAACCTAGAATAAATAAACTTTTCAAGTATTAAACGTTTCGCAGGCTATAAATATAAAATTTCTACGATCTATTTAAAATAAACAGTCGCTATTTTACTTACATAGACTTAATTGTCTTGAAAGTCAACCATGAAAATTTTATTAAGTTAGCTTTATTACTTTTTGAATTATTGCGCACGAAAATAAGGGGAATGGGAATTTTAGTTTGCTAAAAGGGGACGAAAAATGTTTTGCATATATTTATAAATTATAGAGAACAATACAATAGAACAATGAAACAATGGAATAAGCCCATCTAATAAGTAAAACCATAATTAAAAAAATTATCGTTTCATTTTTTCGTTCTTCACATATTTTTTGAGAAAAAATATTCACGATGGAATAGGAAGACGTTTAAGTTTGCATCCCTTGAAATTTTTAAAACTGGATAAATCGTGATTTTTACTCGGCTTTCTTTTGTTTTTGTTTTATTTTGCGTCGTCACAATTTTCCCGAGTGGAACAAATAAACCCTTCTTTTGATGCTGTTCGATTAATATAAGTTTAGATTTAATTGGGGTAACATGTAGATTCTGGTCCTATTTTAATAATATCGCTGCTATTTCGCCGTTTAACAAGATTTGGGCGTGTATGGGCGCGTTAACACGTCGCAGTTTGCACAGGATTGAAGATTTAATATAACTATATAAGCGCGAATTCCAAAGGCAAAGTGTAAGACAAAGTGAACGTATCATGCGGTTTATTTACATTTTTGAACAATTAAACTTCTATACTTTTTAAAGTACGATGTGCTTCTGAATTTCGCGATCGAATAACATTTAGGTTGGCAAGGCATCTAAATGAATATGAACTGTATTGTTTATGTTCAGAAGCTTTACATTGAAGACTGCCACGTGCGCGGCACGCCGGAGTTAACGCCAGAACAGGCGTCTTGTTTGGTATAAAACCACCTTAATATCTCTTGAAATATATTTATTTTAGTTTGAAATTTATGTCAGAGCTATATAGTTTTTTAATAACTAAACATGCCAAAAAAATTTACATTAGTTTCATAAATAACAAAATATATCATCGATCAAATACAGCAAACTGGTTTTCTTTTTTGGGCGTTGATAGGCAAAAATATGAGCGCGGAGAACGTAGAAAACAGTGGGAAAAAGCTTGCAAATAAGGTAAATTTTCAAATGACCAAAGGTTTCCTAAAATATAGATGTATTGCAAGGGATTTTGCTCATTTGCAAAATATTGGAGTTTCTCCCTTATCCCCTCAACCTCGTACCCAGGATTTTTTTGTACCCCTCCCCCCCCTCTCCTCATTTAATGATCGGACCCTTTAGGCTGACCTCAATAACTTTCAAAACGATTTTATAACAATTCTGTCTTTATCTCCACGCTTTATTAAAGCGAGTCATCACTTTACTACTAACGTTCTTGACTGTTTAATTTCAGAGAAGTACGACTCACAGGATTAGTTGGGAACGCATTGAGTTAACAGTTTGTAATAATTGCCTTCATACCACTTGAAACTGAACAAAGGGTTTTCTAGTTTCTTTATCCGTCTGCAAAAACAACAGCACGAAATACGGGCAACGGTACTGTACATTGTCTACAGTTCACTTATTTTTTGATCATGCAGGAATCTCACGCTGTCTCTTGGCAGCTCGCTCCGTGGCTTAGTGCTCACAGCAATGCAACGGGTGTCGAATTTGCATCTGCCGCGGATATGAGCCCACGACGTCCGCTAGCTGATTTGTATTCTTCTTTGCTGCTACTCAACGTTATCCATGCATAGTATTTTGCCATGCATGAACAGCGCGACGCCGATTTAACAGGACCTAAATGTTGTGCTCAAAATTGGTTGTTAAAAATAGTGTTAAACGAAATGTGTAAATCTCTTTTTTGGGTATGTCTAGATAACGTATAATGTCTAGATAATATATTTTCATTCTCATTTTTTATTCGAGCAGTCACGTTTCAGAGCTGGTAGCATTTATCTATTTTAACGAGTAAAATACATAAGAAAAGCTTTATGCGGTTTTCATGATACAACTAATCATAGTATTCATAGAAACAAAACGGGTTGTAGAAAAAATATGATCATAAGCTTTCATATCTAAGAATCGTTGTGCCGTGAAAAAATAATTAGATAGCATTTAAGACCATTGAAAACGCTTTGATACAATAAATTCAAATGCAATACGATGCATTAAAGGTATTGGGTAGGTTTGATTCTTGCCGGAGGACTGATGTTGTATTTTTTGCAACGTTCCAGATTGGGTCTTAAAAATGCCTCAAAATTCTGCCTTCGTTTTCTCAAAAAAACCTTCAACAATGCAGGAATACTGGCGGGGGGCAATTGCCCTCCAGAAACATTCGAATGGATTAAACAATATCACATATGTTGTACCTCAACTGATCTTAGTCCCACACGCAGTTTGTATATAAATTTCAGTAGAAATATGAACGCAATCACGAAAATGATAGCAAACACAACGAATTGTCACGTACAATAAGCAATGATTGTGTGAATGGAGATGATAAACAGTTGTTTCAACATTTTCATTTGACATGTTAGTTGAGCATTGTTAGAGATCCATTTCGTAGTACTGATCAAAGTCAATTTTCTTCTGAATAATGAATGTAATTTATGTGCTATTTTTATTCCTGGATTACAGGTAAAGGTGCAACTGTGCAAGTATGTGATAAGCAGGTTAGCACAATATAGGCTTGGTAATATCAGTTTTAGCACCCTCACGACAATTTCACAATTATAGTAATGTGCCACTGCATTCATGAAAAAATCGACTGGTCATTTAGTTCAAATATTGGACAATTTGAATGTACAGTGGCATAGCCAGCCCGACAATTTAGTCATGCTATGCTAATATTTTGGTGTTCATTGACTGTGAAAGCAATGAATTTCTAAAGAAATGAATAATGATAATAACATAAAATTTGCATAGCATGACTAAATCGTCGGGCTGGCTATGCCATTGTGAATGTAAATGTAAATATATAAAATGTATAACATATATAGAAGGGGATTATGCTATCATTGTTGCCTGCCATGCTGTTAAATAAGGAAAACAACTTTGTTTGTTCTCTTGAAAAGCAGAAATACACTCAGGTCTTAGGGTTGCCCAGATAGAGGGGTGCAGGGCAAAAGGCCGCTGCTGCAGGTTTGCAGGGGGGCAGAATACTAAATAAAATAAACTATTGTCTCAAATAAAGTTTTCTATTTTATAGTCCTAGTAAATAGTAATGCCACATATCATACTACTGTGAAATATTTTCCACCCAAAAATGAAGGAAAAGGCATATTTTGTACTTAAAATTTCTACAAAAAAATAACCATATGAACAATAATAATAAGATAATTTATTATTATTTATATAGAGCAATTTAACATGCAATCATGCATTGATATGATCAAATGTGCTTTACAGGCTAAAACTGTAGATATAATAATAATAACAAATAATAATAAAATAATAATAATGAAGACACCACCCAACCTGGGACAAACAATTGACAGCAAAATGTCAAGGGCTGGCAATAGTGTTGCTTGTGTTTAGTACAGCAAACATACAAAATTTTGTGTCATATGCTTACTCCTATGCAGCATATTTACATGTTAATACCTCTAAGGTTAACTACGGTACCATTGCATTTGATTACATGATAATTGTACCAAGCAGGAAATGCATGAAGTTTTAAAAGTTAAAGAGTGAAATATAGAGCTTGAGGAAAGGTAACAAACTGAATTCAAAAGTAGACTAATTGACACGGTGGCACTGTTGCAATAACAATGCAATAATGCATATAATTTTTAATAATAATAATGCTCTAATAATGTAAATGTATTAATTTGCTCTATCTAATGTAGCAATTTACTAGTATTTGAGTGTAAATGAAAGAATAGGTTAGCAAATTAATCTAACAGATAAATAAAAATATAAATGAGGCTAACAACTTCAGGTCTGTCTAATCAGAAGTACATGGTAGGGTCTCTTTGAAACAGGCTCTATGGTGCATGGAGTATTTAATAGATCTATACACTTTCATGAGCAAAAATGGCAGTAATGTTATCTCTTATTCTCCCAGTGGGAAAGTATGCTGATATAGTTTTGAACTGCTGAAAGCAGTGGAACTAATCACTATAAAGAGATTACTTTATGTGCTGAGGACTATCCGGGATAAAGTATGTAAATGTATTTAACATATTGCTGTGGTACATTTCATCCTCAATTATCATAAAGTAGGGGGCCACTCAAAATTCTTCACTTTTTTTCATTGGGTGGCTACGAATACGTTCATGATCTACGAATCGACTCCCACAAATTTAAATTATCATTGGACATGCTTCATAGTCTGGAAGCGGAGTCAGCCTGGAGGCCCTGAATGGCAAACGGCCAAACGCTGATGACAGATCATGATCATTATTTCTGAATATGTGGTGGCAAAGAATTTATCATAACAACTCAAAAAGTAAATTACCTTCCAATTCTTGTCTTCGCCGTACAGCTTCTCAAGTTCGTTCTTAATTTTCGATCAAACCAGGAATATACAGACTCTTACAAACGAGTAACAAACCGAAATTCTTCTACCTTTCTTTACACGTGCTATTTATATTTGCGACATGTTTCAGGAGCCCGCAGTTACAAATCCTCCATTCAACCAATCAGAACTCAGAAGCTAAATCGTTCACCCCCTATCATTTCCTCATTGAGTATTTCTATTTTTTGTGCAGAATAGTCGCTTTTCAGTCAATTATAAATTATTCTTGTTAATCTTGTAGAGAGATTCAACTGTGGGAAGGAATGGATAAAGTTTTGAGAGAAATAATAATAGACCTTTTCGATAATTACGTCACAATATTATCGTTTTAAATTTAGAACCACCTTAAATGAGATGGATTTCCTGTTTTTCACAAGCTATGTGCAAAGATGCAGAACATCCTTCTTCGACACATGCATCATGCATGAAAAAGAGTTTTTCATTTTGACAAATAAGTATGGAAATTAGCCATATCGCGAGAACTCGCTGTTTTAGCCCCTGAGCCTCGTTCTCGCGTTGTGGATTATTTACACATTTTTTGGTCAAAATGAAAAAATCTTTTTCATGCATGTGTTCTGCATCTTTGCACGTGGCTCGTGACAGTAAACCTCGAAGCCATTTAAAATGTAGCCTAAACTTAATACGTTGTGACGTAAAACGTAGTGACGTAATTACCGAAAAGGTCTATTGCAGATGCAGATAAAAAACACAGAGAGTATACAGAAGTCGAAATAATCATAGCCTACGCACAGTAATCATTGGCAATACAATATATCTGTATCACTGTGAAGTTCGCCCCACGATCTGCCGGAGATTCGTCCTCGGAATGGGCCTCCTAAATTCCTAATAGTCCTAATAGGCAGCATATTATGATATTCCAGTGTTTTCAATCACTCAAAAGTGGAATATGTTTTAATTTAGTTATAGCATTTTCTCCAATTTTTGCATTTGAACTAGAAATTTACGAGAGATAAGTAGCTTATCCATGCATTGCTTGACGGCAATTAGAATAAAGCAGTTGATTTTATTGAGAAATTGATTATTCAAATTGACCTTTTCGGTAATCACATCACAACATTTTAACATCACAACGTTTTAGATTTAGATCATTAATGAAATGGATTTCAAGTTTTACTCTCACGTCTAAAGGTCTATTTAAGAATCTATTATTTGTAAATATGTCGTCACAATTACAGAATACCAGAAATTATTTGTAAATTTGACGTCATAATTACAAATAGCGCTATCCAGCGGATAGTGGTTTTTTCAATCGCTTCAAAATCGCGCCCGTTTTTGGTATAATTTTGATTAAATCTTTTTATTCCTATATCGGGGATCGTCTTTAATAATTTTTGGTTCCAATGCTGAAATTTCATTGCTTTTCAAGCATTTTTAGAAAGGTTGAAAAAATCACTATCTGGTGGATAGCGCTATCCGGCTTTCATACAACCGGCCCCAGGCATTTTCTACCAGGTTGCATGTTATTTTGTCCTCGTCGACCTCAATGCATGTGTCGCTACCTCAGTATTTCACTGTGCAGATATTCAGTCTAAAGCAACAGTTCCTATTTATAAATATAAAGGCCATGGATATTGCTTTATTATAGCGATGAAGATGCATGAGAGGTGGTACCACACCAACGCTATTTTAAAAGACTTTGTAAAATTTCAGGACAGATATTGGAACTTTCGAACAAACATATAGAACAGATATATCGCTGAAAATAATATTGCCGACAAAAATACAATGATTTAAACGCGAGATCTATGCAAGGATGCTAGTATTTGGCTCCACATTTAAAGCCGACGGCCTCTTTTTACTTATTGATCCTTTATTAAGCATTCAGTTTGCGTTGAAAGAACTATGCAAAACAGAACTGCAAACTAATTATCGTTTATGAATATATTAAACTAAAGGTTAAACTGACCACCACTGTCAGAGTCTCATAACATTTTATCGTAACAAATGAATTTTTTAATTTTGCTTTAATTATAACCGTTCACTTTGATTATTACGGCTATATATAGTATAGTGTGTCATCAGAATTTGGTGGCTACGAGTTGTGTAAAACACTTTATAATATTATTTAAAAAATAAATGTTAGAATGTTGGAATAGCTTCAAATCAGCCGTACTTAGTCACCATGATTATCATAATCATGGAGGTGGTATAATTTTTTGTGAGATTGTGATACTGTCCTATGTCCTAAAGTGCTGTTTACTTTCCAGCAAGTCATAATGACCTATTCTCTTTTTAAACTAAATTTAAAACTATAGAAAAAATTACCAGTCCAGTTGGAAGGGATATCCCAAAATGGAGTAAGAATAAAAAGATTGGTTGCAAAATGTTTAAACTATCGCCTTGCGAAGTTGGCAATTGTTTATAGAAAACGTGGTAAGAATTTTTTCGCGCGTAAAGTTTGAAATTTAGTTTAGAGGAAGATTGGTCAATTACATGGTATTGCCTATTATAACTTCCATCGCAAATCATTAATTTTCTTCTCGATATAAAAGGTGAATTTGCTTGGTTGATCTATTTTCTTGGTTGATCTATGGGGTCTGGGTGTGCGAGCAGCCATTACTGAATGTAGCTGGTGGGAGACAATATTTCCACTCATAGGAAGAAACTCAAAGCAGTCTCTTGCGCGGCGTATTAATGGGATAATCTGCCTGAATCAATCCGTGCTATTGTGTTTATTAATAATTATAAAGTATTTATTCATAACTACAACAATAATAATTTTTTAAACTAGAATATTCTACAATACTTGTAAATTGAGATAATCGTCGAGTTTGTAATACTTATTGCATACTTCATTTAATCGTAGTATACTAGCTTAATTAATTGGTTGATTTGATTTGATTCGTTGATAATTACTTTATTTCATTCGATTGATAATGATTGATTGATTAATTATTGATTGATTGATTGATTGATTGAACGAAGTTCGATAACATGATTAATTAAATATTGATTGATTGATTGATTAATTGATGGATTAATTGATTGAACGAAGTTCGATAACAATGTCCAAAGCTATGGTGAGGGGATGCATGGATGGCTTTCCAACGTTTCCAAAGTTCGTAAATGATTTTCGATAGCCATAACGCGATTTCTAGCATACTGCCTCATTTCAGGAACGCCAGCATCTTCAGCCAAGTGTTCAGCTCGTTTGGCAAACTTCAAAGCATCCGAAATCACCTGCTCTTTTTTAAGTGCTGTAGCGACTGTTCCTGCTTGGTAAAACAAGTCGGACTGGGCGAGAAGTTTTTGAATAGAACGAAGATCGCTTAGCCCAGACTTTTGGCGGATTACAATGTGATGACTTTCGTCAAGGCAGTTTTGCGCCTCATCTGTATTTATAACTGAAACATCGCGATCTAAAAGCATTGTTCCTTCAAGTGAACTTCCTGAGAAAAACATTGCTTTGGTCATATTAATCTTATGCCGGAGATCCATTTTCGCTGCCTTAAATTCAGGCGACACGTATTGTAAGTGAATTTCAGCCTTGCAGTAACATTCTTTTGCTCTCGTGATGAATGGACTCCGTTCAGTTTTACCTTCTTTTTTCATTGCTGTAATATTGAAGACTGTTGCCATGAGAACAAGATAAGCTGCTGAGACGATATCAGGGTGAATCTTATCTAGTTTCTGTAATGATTTCATGGCAATCTTGCAACTTGCTTTAAAATTACCACGTGATCTTTCGCTTAAACAGTTCAAATATTCTCCCACGATCTCGAACGTTTTCACGTTTTCAGACTTCGATAAGGTTGTCTTGTATTCTTTAAACATTTCATCAGCTTTTTCAAAATAACCTTTCCTCAAACACAATTTTATCAACTTCGATAAACAGATCAATCTGATGTCGATGCTGTCGTGGTGGTCTCGTGCCTTGTCAGCTGCTTCCTTCAAGTCGCTCCACTCGCAATCATCAATTAGAAGATTTGTCAGCATTTTGTCAATGTCAAGTTCGTACGATGCTTTACTTGTTTCGTCTGATTCCTCATTATTTCCATCTAAATTAACACAGTCTTTTTTCATTGACAATGCTATTCATCAAAATTGTTATGCGGTATGCCCTGTATGGGGCTAACAGCTCTAGTAAAATTGTCTGACATTAAGCCTCTTTTCTACCAGACGAATTTATTAATTCGCGCGAACAGATAAAAAGTAGGGAGCGATTCTACTTTTTCGCGGCAACTTTTTTCGCAAACCAATCACATCACCGGATTTTAGAACAAATTCACCTAGTGGAAAACAAGCTTAGACAGAGTAAAGTCTATGAATAATTCAAAACTTTACCTTTCGCCCTTCCCAAACCTTCCACCATATATTTGGTCCAAGTTTCAAAATCGATCATTTTTGCCTCATTTTCTCTCATTTCGTAAGATTCAGGGAACTGCGTAAACACACCTCCAAGACGTTGCGCGACATAAATGACGATTACGAAAGTTGAAGCAACTTTTCCCCCGTTCTTATACTTTACTTCTTCGAAAACCATCTGCCATTGCTTCTCTTCTCCATCCGTTTGACTGTTATCAGACCATATCATATTCTTAATTGCTTTACTGACCTCAGTCTCTAGCTCAAGTCGATCCTGCAAAGTGATAGTTTCTCCTTGCACTATCCCATCGTCGTCTATACCAATATAGATATGGCCACCTCTATAATTTGCAAATGCCGAGACATAACACTGGAGTTTACCATTTTTAATCAACCTTTGAGTGAGATTGGAGCTTTTCGTTCGCTTTACCAGTAAACTCTTGAACTGAACGGTTTTTGACTCACCAAAACCAACTGGAGAGCCCAATATAAAGTTTTTAAAATGTGAACCTGGAGTAACAACCTCTAGCGAAGGAATGTTTTTGCACAAAATGTCCCTGACTTTCTTTATGGGGTCTTTCGGTGATAATTCGATGACTTGTTGATTAGTTGGTAAATATAAATGGTAATTCAAAGTATAGATATAGTTGATGTCTGTCGCGGCAACAGTGATTTCCATAGATTCGCTTTTCCTAACAATAGTAAGGTCATACACGAGGGTTGCCACTCCGGTAAATTCACATACTTTTTGCTCGATCTTTCGAACCGACTCTTTTATGTGTCGCTTAGGTGCGTAAGTTGGATCAAACTTTATCCGCAATGTTCCTCCAAGTCTACCATTAAATAAAGCATTTATGATGTGTACAATTTTCTTTATTACGGTACCTTCGTAAATTCCGTTACGGTTTTCGCTCATCTTGGTGGCACAAACGAACAAGTCGACAAATATTGGCATTGTGACAGATGATTATTTCAAACTTAATGACAGGCGGTAGTACAACCAATTTGTTGGAAATTTGCTATCAATTTGGCTGTCAGTGGTCATCCAGATGTGCAACCTGAAAATCAATTATATAAGCACTATTTTCATATTATTTTTCATTGCTACTAAGCTCTTATAGAATAATGGATGGCTCGACGCTGAGTAGTAACATATCAGTACAGAGTTTGCATGAAAACTAAAGGTTTGTACTATTTAGTTACCTTTTTAATGTCTAAGCCGTTATGCTGACTTTCTGACGCCTTCGCGCAAACCGGTTAAAAAAGGAAGGAAGTTTCGGTTCTGTCTGTATTTTCTATACTCGCGAGAATTTAATTATATGTTGATAAGCAATTATGATTTAATTCAACATCGAATAATTGAAATGGAACCCCAAAAAAGAATATAGCTCATAACAGTTTGCTACGACAAACGCTCATGACTATAGTCATTCCGTATAAATCGATACAGTAATTCAGTTTTAAAATTGACTCGATTGCTTCATTTACCGTAGGATTATCAACTTACGCCCGACTAGGGATGAAAATTGATCGCCATTGGGTTGGGGGGCACCTGGTAGGGATCACTTTTGTTATGATTATTCAATTCTTCAGAAATTGTTTTCAATGAACCCTGACATATACAACCTGCACCACCCCATACATCTGTACATACGTGAATTTACACCCCCACAAGCAACGTTCTCCATAGCTTAGTGGTTAGAACACTGGGATGAAATTGATCGATATTATCATTGAACATACGTTCTCTCGAGTGTTAGAGAATGGAAAGAACTGATTATACTTATGCACAGGGAAAGGTAAGGGTTGCACGTGGTGGACACTTTGCACATGCAAGTGAAAACGCAATGCGCAATGAACAATAATGCACTAAAGTCGTATGTAAGAAGTTGACATGAGATTGCAGTAAGAGAATAGCAGAATATAAATTGAAGAAAGCAAACTTGTCGTTTGGTTTATCATATTTAATTACTTATGAGCTGTTAAAATATTTTCATTCTTTTTCTGTACGCGCTTTACAAGATACACACGGGGAAAACGACTGCAATTTTCTGGTAAAAATTTGGAAATAAACGGATGATCATAAAAAATTTGACTATACCCTCATTCTTACGAAACTTAAGCCCCGGTCAAACGAGAATACGAGAGTGTATGAGAGTTGCAACTCTCGCTAGCGTTTGACCGCAAACTCTCATACACTCTCGTGCACTCTCATCAACTCTCATCGACTTTGAACTGGTTCAAATTTTGCAGATATTTCACTAAAACATGGCTGACAATATGAACACGCTGAGATTCGTAAAACTGTATGGTTCGATTTACCGCTCTTGGTCCTTCAACATGCGTTTGTATTTGTTCTGTGAAGTATAAGAAGAAATGGAAACCTACTAGCTATTGGAAAGAAAGCTCTATTTGTTGCAAATAGAAGATCAGCATGTGTATATGGTATACGAAAAAACTCTAATGTGGAACTGTGGCATTATCGTTATGGTCATTGAGGTACTGGCAATGTAAAATAATTGATGAAAGGAGATATGGTTAATGAAATGAGCTGTGAAGAGAAATGCAAGGGACGTTTAATATGTGAAGGTTGTATCCTGGGAAAACAACATAGAACTGAATATCGAAAAGAAGGAGGAAAGCCCGCATCTGAAGTCATGGGTGTACAGTGATGTCATTAGACTAATGTCGGTCAACTCATTTGGCGGCTCACGGTACTTTGTAACTTTCATTGATGATTGTTCTCGTTATACATTCATCAAGAGAAAGGACAAGGTCCTTAAAAAATTCAGAGAATTTGTAAGCATGCTACTAATCTCAAAGGAATATCAATTAAAGTTCTCCACACGGATAATGGAGTGAGTACTGCTTTAATGAGTTCAAATGAATTAAATCATACCTGAAGGAGAAAACAATCAGCCATCAACGTATATATACTACCCCTTACTATTCTGCACAAAATTTAATTTAATTTATTTAATTTAATTTTTTCAATTTAATTTAATTTAATTTAATTTCAATTTAACAACTTTATTCGAGAATAATAACCAAATAAGGCTGGAAACAAACGGGACGATGTCCCATGCTAGGTGTATCTGAAAGGATGAATAGAGCACTCGTGCAGTCCTGAAGCTATTAATAGAGAGCTTTAGATTTGACTACGGCTCCCGCTACGGCTACGAGATTCGTCACTGTGGCGCGAAACAAACGTTGTATGCATACGCCACCTCGTACTGGCATAATAAAACTCTGCAAACACAATAATAAATGCATGTTTATCCTGTCAAATATTTCGGAAATTTTACGCCTACTATTTCGAAAAATACACATAATCAAAGGCCACGGTCACGAAAAACAGTTCTCTCAAATTATTTTCTGGAAAAAACGAGAAAATGTCAACTTTTATAGCTTTTTAAACCACGTAGTGAGGACTACGAAGTTTTCTTAAAATGCCGTAGTCAGATGAGCGACGGCTACGAGTCTCTGGCGTCAATACGAAGTATCACGAATATCACGTCAATGTGACGAATCTCGTAGCGGTAGCGGGAGCCGTAGTCAAATCTAAAGCTCTCTATCACTGCTGCCTACCTTCGAAACCGAAGTCCAACTGCATCTACAAGTCCCACAACAGGGATTGTCAGTTAGCTTTTCTTCATATTCCAAAAGAGAATCGACGGAGGTTTGATGAGAAGGCAGTTATCTTTGTTGGTTACCCGATGGAACCAAAGCCCAAAGGTTATAAGTTCTTTGAACCATTATCAAATAGGTTTGCGTGGAAGGGATGTTTCTTTTGTTAAATAACAGTTTTTCTACAAGTCTCATTTGATTTTTCTGAAGAAGATATTTTGTCGGATAAAGTTCAAGAACAACCACTTGAACTTGCATTCAGGACCTGATGAATGTCGAAGAGATAGGACCAGGTCAACCTGCAGTGGGAGTAACATTTGAGGAAAATTTTCTAAGAGAAGTTGAGAATCTATGTGAAGAATCTAACTGCTGGGAATCTAACTTCTGATCATGATGTTGATGAACCGTCAAACATTAAGGAAACCTTGAATTGTAAACATTCTGTTGAATGGAAAGAAGCGATGGATACTGCGTATAAATTCCTCATGCAGAATGAGACATTGGAACTTGTTTCTCCTCCAGCGGGGAAGACCATTGTCGGAGGTCGTTTGGTGTTCAAGGTTAAACACAACGCAGATGGAAGTGTAGAAAGATACAAAGCTCGCCTAGTCGCCCAAGGATATTCTAAAGCACAAAGTCTTGATTACGAAGAAATCTTCTCACCCGTAGTACGAAAAGGCGGTTTTCCACCAGGCGGAATTTTTCGATCGAACGAAATTTTTCGCTCGATTTTCTTTTCAATTGTGACCGGTGAAGGAAGTCCGCTACGGTTGAATTCTGACAATTGAAAAGAAAATTGAGCGAAAAATTTCGTTCGATTGAAATATTCATTATTTAGCGGTGGGTGGCCTTAGCTAGGGTGTAATTATAGCCCTGTTGTTACCTGCCTATGTATGTGTCGTGGTTATTCATGTACATAAATTTTTTAAATATATGAATAATTAAATAAATTCCGCCTAGTGCCGTAGTGGAAAACCGGGTTAACACTTTAATCAGGTCTTCGTTGTTCGTTGGCCAAATGGATACAAAGACACTCAGCATTTCTACAAGGAGAATTACATGATAAAATCTATATGTTTCTGTGAATACATCCCCTACGACAAATGGTCACAAAAAATCAAACTGATCAGATCCATGCATATATACCAAGTCAGTGAAATTCAAAGATGAAAAGATTAATTTTGTCATTCTTGATCTTGCCCTCAGTTTGTCATTATGTCGACGATATGTTATGGTTCTCCAACAATACCGAAATGTGAAAAAGAGAAAAGGTTGCATTTGCACAAAGGTTTGACAAAGAGGATTTGGGAGAAATCAACTACATTCTGGGAATCACAGTGAAGTGAAGAGATTGTAAAGCCAAAACACTCGTGAGTAACCAACCAAAGTATACAGAAGGGATACTCAAGAGATTTCAAATGGAGAATTGTCTACAGTGTCTACACCCATGGAAGTTGGAATGATCAAAGTTTGTTTTTCTTACCAAAAGATGAAACACCAGTGGAAGTGCAACACCAGTGGAGTATGTTTTTTCTTGTATTTTATCAAATTGTCTGCTGGTAATGGTTTTCAGTGCAACAATATCAGATGGCAATTGTAGCTACTGTTACCGGACCAGATATATCATCTGCAGTAAGATTTCTATCAAGATTTAGCTCTTGGTCAGGAAAAAAACATTGGTAAGGACATTGATATTTCTTATTATTTTATAAGCTAGCTATTCAAAGTATGTTAGGTGATGTAATGACTAAAGTCTTGCCAAGAAACACTTTTGAAAAATTTAGGGAAATGTTGGGTGTTATATAGGCACATTTAGCAACAATCAGACAGTTAGATCTTTGTGTATTTTAGTTGATATTTTAAGTTAAACATGTAGTCATTAAGCAGGAATGTTATATTGGGAACTTTATATAACATATTTTGTTATATAGGTGCTGTGTATTTTAAATGTGATTGGTTCATTTGTAGTCACATGACTTTAAATAAATGCAGTGTTTCCCGCTAGGGAAATGCAGTGTTTAATTCCCGCATACTGTCATAACAAAGACAAAGTAATGTGTGTTTTTTTTTAAATGAAATTATTGTGTGACATGTGTGTTTATATTCCTATACAACAAAACACTTAATGTACAATTCCTCTGGAAATAGTGAGTTTTTTCCCTTTGAGTCTCAATGTTTCGCTCGACTTAAGAAAACAAAACTCCTTATTCTCCTCGGTAGCATACATTAAGTTTATAATGTAATAAACCAGATGTTATGTGATTTGTCAACATCTAAAATGGCTACAATTTTCACTTTGCATAACTATCCACTGACAAGTTACAAGAAAGTGAGGCCAGGTTTTCTCCTGCCAAAAGTTCAAAATGTTTTTCAAAAAAATTCAAAAGTAAACAGATGTTAAATTTTGGCTAATTCTTGTGAAACCTGTAACAGGTCTCTGCTCTTTTTCAAATAGGTCTTCAATGCTTCAAATATGCTTTGTATAAAGCATATATATCATCCTTTTGTAATTTGTATAGGTTTCAAGCTAGCTCTGTGAGAAATTGCTTTTAGCATATTTCAATCTCAGGAATTTAATGTTTTTAGACTTTGATGTTTGTTTTTTCCTGGTTAATTTTTCTTTGACATTAAATATTATTAATAAGGTTTATAATGTTTCTTAATTAAAGACCACCAGCATTCAAGGCTGGACTCCTCCTTTAATACTATTTATTATTGTATTACAATCTCACATAGCTTAAAAAATTGCCTAGGAAATAAACTACGTTCAGTACGTTAATTGCACTAGAACACAGCTGAACTTTATTTCGCATAACACGTCGTTTTATTTAAATTGTAAAATAGTTGAGACATTTGTTTACATCAACTTTGTTTTTCAAAACATTGGAATAATCACCTTTGTAATATTTGTTCACCTCGCCTTCGGCGAATAATTTATAATTCATTTTTTGATATTTAATGTTCTCTATCTGATAGCGAGTACTGTTTATCTTAATTCAAGATTACAAGATACATAAGGGTGATATATATTTGTTACATTAGGTACACGTCATCCATATATGCCTATCGCGATCACAGAGAAACTGCCACTCTGCCAAAAAATATTATTTTCGTACCTGGAAGGTTCCATTTTCAACCTATTCATCTACTATATTCTAGCTGATATATCTGCTAGCCAAAACAGCGTTTAGCCAAATTGCTTAGCCAGAGAACGTTAGGTTCTGATTTGTTCTGATTTCTGAAATTGGGAATTCCCTATACGAGAATGTCCCCTTGAAGAGGATAAAACACGTATGAGTTTATAGGGTCTGTTCATTTCAGACTTGGGGCGCTCCATTATTAAGCGGCCAAAATGGTCAGACCAGTCGTATTTTGAATTGATATAGAGTATTTCGTTAAAAATATAGCGGTGAAACTGCATTTTCCTTGCTAATCAGATGTAAATAACATTAAATCTAGATCTGAATGCAGATTCTCAAACACTCTAAAATACCCGGTCCACCGTTTTTACCGTGAAAAGGGGGGCTATTATAGTCTGGCGGTTAGGCTGCTTTAAGGCGATTCTCCATTACCTGCACTCCGCCCGCGCGGGAGCGCGCTTTGTTTTTCAGACCCGTCACGGTCGCATGGACAGATTTTCAAAAGCCGCTTCGCCCGCGCGGGTGAAGCGAACGGTAATGGAGAGCAGCCTTAATCCATCAAGGATCGGATTTCGGATATATCTACGTTTTCGTGGCGGTTTACGATGAAGAGATCATTGTACGGTAGCGAAAAATCATTGTTTTTTCGGGTTTAAAATCAATGTTTGGAAGTTTTAATGGAAGGTATCTTCAAAGATTTTCGTATGATCTTAAAGCTTTGATTTTCTTTTATGCGGAGTTTCTTTTATGCCATATGCTGTTCATATGGTTCTTTGAAGAGAAACCCAATTTTATGTCGATCAGGAAAATGGCGGTTACGGATTTTCGAAGAAAAAAAATGACGGTTAACGGTGAAAGAGGATAAAAATATGGCGGTTTCCGGATAGACCGACTCCCTATAATAGCCCCCCTATAAAGGGAAGCGTGGGTATTTCTGTCCTCACCAGTTATAAAGCAGTAACCTGTGTTATCCAATATCCCTCAATAGTCAATAGTTCATCATGATAAAAAGTTAGTGAAATTATAATTTTTTTCCTATGTTATTGGTCAGCAAATGTAAATAAATTTGACCAACAATATTTATTTTAGCATTTATGAATTTTGAATTTTAAAATTTTATTGGGTCCAACTATGCCGGTGGTGACCAATTTCCTAAACCTATATGTTATTCAGATATCACTAGGTTTAAGCAGCCATATATTGTCATCGCAAATTGATAACAGTAGTTTTACTCAAAAATTTATCCACTGTAAAAATGCAAAATAAAATAAATAATAAAAAGTAAAAGCGTAGTTTTTATACGCTGATATATGAAAACGTTGGTCAATATTACATGACCGGTACCCTTCAACCCTATGGGGAGATCGTTCATCATGCCCCAGTCAGTATCCTTTCTCGCCTTAGCAGTACTGGTCATACTGCTTTGCTAGACGACTTCAAAATTCGATCTTTATGCCCTTTTCCTGACAAACTGCTCATTCACAAAGCCTTCTTATTTCCAACTCGGTATATATAAACATTCTCTAAACATACTGTCATACTGCGCAGTTCTGTTCCTCTCCTTCTACTCAGATCCAATTCTCAGATCCAGTCCACTCTTGAACTTGTAAACTTGTTTTTTTGTAAATAGATATAATTGTTCATAATTCTACTAATCTTTGAAGTGGTTGGTGTCTATTTTGTTTACTCCGTATTTGCTGTAAGAGTGTATTTTATTTCTACAGATCTAGTATGAGCTTGGTATGTCGTTTTGCAAAGACATTACCGACTATTAAAGGCGTTACATCATTGCTTTAACTTCAAAAAGAGTTATAGAAACTGTAAATCAACAGCGTCTTATTTAAAAATTTTAATTTATATAGTGTTAAATGTTCAGAATGTCCTCAATCTGGAAATTTTCGGTTAATTGATACCAATGACAATATTTTATTTTACAAGCTGTTAATTATTAGTGATTTATTATATTAATGCATATGGAATAAGCTGGACACTATTATTAATTGTCCGAATAACATAAAAATCTAGCAACTAGTCGTTTCAAATTTTAAATTATATTAGCGGAAAGAAAGTTAATAAGTGTGCTTATTTTTGCTTTGGCAATGGCATGTAAAACATTTTGTTTTTCACTTAACTCTAAATTAGAATTTAAAATTATCGCCCTTTTATTATTTGTGTTTTATTAAAACTTCTTGCAGCATAAGCTGAATTACAAGTTGAAAGGAGTAATATTACAAACATATTACATTTCGAACTTACTATCGTACGGTTAAAAAGTCCAGAGGGAAAACTAAAAACAGTTCAATTCAGGTAGATCGATGATACCTTAAGGGTTCTACACTATATAGAAAATATAGTTACTTATCAATTGTATTTACAAGTTACGAAGTTTAAAAATCTATCAGTATTTATAGAGTTTAAACAACTTGGTTCATGTATCTGCCGTAAATAATATTCATGGTTAATACCAGCACTATTATTATTATTAAGAATTTCCTTCAAGGGACCAGCTAGTTTATTATCTCTGACGAACTTCTTGCAAATATCTTCTCGTCTTTACCGATTCCATCTCCTTACATTTCATTGGGTTTAGTCGCATACCTCTCGAGCAGGCATACTCCTGTATATGATTAACCAAAAAAGGGGTAACGCTAGGTGAACATTTTGGAACAACTTCAGCGGTTGATAAATCGTCGACAAATTTGATTCTAAGATCCCAGTCACGGAGTAAATACTGATAGTTGGCAAATATACTAATAGTTGGCAGAACAGGGACAATGACTCTATGCGCATGATCTCAGATCAACTGGTTAAACTAGAGATCGTTGAATCAACTGGCTCAGGAAAAACAACTACAATAAATGCCACATTTGAAAGGTTTTAAGGTAGTCTCATATATTGCAGCCAGTGACGCAAGCTTGCAAGCTTAAGTGCCATATACAAGCGTTCGTCACTGACTGCAATATCTAAAACTGGGCACATATACTTTTAGGCTACCTAGGATCTTGGTGCAGTTCCGGCGATTTTTCCTGTTCGCCGGCGCGAAATGCTTCTCCAAATTATTTTGCAATAGAAAACCTTGAGTGCCGCATAAAAAAATAATCAGAACCAAATACACCGAGAGAAAATTTCTTGCAAATTATTTCTTCAATGAGATGGTGGAATGGAAAACCGCGTTTACACTAACCCTACCGCTAACCCTGCTTTGAACAACACAGTTTTCACCCAGGTTTAAGTAACTTAGGGTTAAAGATTTCAACCCAGGTTTAGCAC